GGGAAACGCCGCAGAAAATCAAAGCACACACAGTAGAATCGCAAGCGCAGGCATCCTAGGTATCCTGCAGCGAACGCCGTTTCGAAATGCTCTATCGTCGGGGAAGAATGCCGATACATCATGCCATGCCATGATGCCACGTGGCACACGGATCGGACGTCTGCAGACCCACGGGGCAAACGTCAGTCAAAATGTCACGGCGATGGGAGTGCGAATGGATTCGATCCAATCCCTGTAGTGAGGGGAACCGCACGTTCGGTGAAGTGTCGCACACGACGCAATGTCTCATGACGCATCATGTCGTTAAGCCGTATCATCAGACGAGAACTCATCCCTAGGCCCGATCTCCTGGGAAGAGAGCTCCAACGACCTCCCCCCTCCCGGGCCCCTCAAGTTCTGAGCGTTTCAAGCAGCAAGAACGGAGCGGAAGCGGAAACGCGGATGGCGGGGGGGTGGTACTATTGCTGCTTCGTCGAACAAGCGGCGAATCCGACTCCGCAAACTTCTTAAATATCGCGGATGATTATGTGGTGCTGTTGCAGCCAACTCACATCCGTGCGTAGCCCTTGCAACAGCTGTGTAACTGCAGCGCACGTGAGTGGCTGGCTTCCCTCTGCCATGGAAGCCAGGCGGGACTGTTGTGAACCATTTCCGCTTGGTCAGCAAGACGGCAGCTCACGGCCATCTGCTCGTGAGGTGCACGGAATTTGCGTCCTTGCCTGACCTGGACTGAACAGACGAGTTCAACTAGACGCCGCCTGTTTCTCGCCGTAGGAAACTGCGTATTCGGTCGGCTGATATCGTCTTTTTAGATTGGTTCAATTCAATTGAACGGAATACCGGTATTCACTTCTTAGTTCCTAAGGGCGCGTGTCTTTTGAATTTTAGGCCAAAGTTCATGTTTTTTAGTCGAATTTTGGCAGATGAGCACTGGTCGACCTGTAGTCGACTATCTCATCATTTTACTGTCGAGTCGCGTGTTCATCTCTGACGTGGAGCACATGGAACAATAAAAGCTCGACTTTCAAAGTTCGAAAATGTACAGCAAAATCCGAGTCGCTCCCAACTTTCGTAGGTTACCTGGTCTATACTGGTGTGTTCGTCGACAAATATAAGTTTTGTAACCTGTCGCGACGTGGTTCGTTACCGTCGCTAAGCTTGCAGCCTTTTCGTCCTTGGGCAGAAGAACACACATTTGCAGAAACGTGCTCGAGGATATTTGGTCGACCCGAGTTCAGTGTCCTGCTGTTTTTTCAACTTTGAGCTTGGACACACGATCGTCGTCAACAGCTCCTAACGAAATTGGCGAAGCTGGTTACTAGCTAAAGTTCGACCATATTTTCGAACCTCTACACCAAAAGACACGCGCCCTAAACGTTGTTCTACTCTGTTGAAACTGAAGCCACTATGGCGAGAAACAGGGCGATATTGAAAGTACCATAGAAATCATATGACCAGTAATAACCTGTAGACACTCTTCACAAAATGACACTCTTCTATCATGGGATAGTGATATGTTCTGCAAATCTATCACACTTTGTCAAAAAAGGTATTAAATTGTCACTCGGTCTGCTGAGGATGGTGAAATCCCTCTATGCCGCAACAAATACGAGAAAGCGTCAAGGGGATGTAATACATAGCTGTTCTCAAGAATGTCCAAGCCATATTCAGGCTCCAAACTGGCTGCCCCTCTAAACCCAAGGGCAACTGCCGAGGATTGTGCACATGAGTCGAAGCAGTCATCAACTTGAGCGTCCACAGCAGCCACGTTAGTTCTGGAGGAATCAGTCATGTCGACCAGAGCAGCGATTGTCCCATTCATGGGGATGGGACCTAGCGAAGCTCTCACATGTGCCTGCTGCGCTGTCGAGCCTGGGAGTACAGGTGGTGCGGCAGGAGGCAGATGAGGTTGCAAGCTCGAACCTATAGGGTTTGACCTCGGATGCATTTGCCTTGCAGCTACTTGGGGCCCAGGGTGGGAATGGAAAGGCAGCAGGGGCGGCTCTGGCAGTTGCTGAGACGAGCTCTGGTGCACTGAGAGAGGAGGGAAGTGTGCATGCGGTAGGCTCGTCGGACCAACATTCAGCTGCTCACAAAGATCTCTCTCGCAGGTCCTGCCTTGCTCCAGAGGCCAATCTAGCAGCGCTGGTTCGGAAAAGGACGTGGCCAGCAAGCGTCCCTGCAGCTCTCCCCCCAGGGGCAGGCGGGCGGCGGGAGCACACGGTGTAACGGCGCATGATGGCTGCGGCACTGGCAGGTGGGAGGCAGGTGCATGCCCGGTGCTGACTCCCAGCGGCACGCCGTCTAGAAGGGCACTCTCCGACCCAACGCGCGGCCGCAATGCTGGTTGCACTCGGCTCCTCTTCCCCTGCCGTGTGCAACCACTCTCCAGCGAAAGTAGCCGCAGTGTTGTGTCTAGCATGGGTGGAGATGCGAAAGCGGAAGTAAAACCCTCCCATGGTCGCTTGCTCGGCAGGCTGGGTGCTGCAGGGTCGGTGCAAAGCGGCTCTTCCCTCACCACCTCAGCAGGGTTGGTGCAAAACGAAGTTTCCCTCATCAGCTTGCAGAAAGCAGCAGTGGCATCGGAGACAGCAGCACTGGCAACGGCAGCCGTGGCGAGAGCAGCAGGTTTAGAAGCACCATCCACAGCATCAGTGGTGATCATGAGGAGAGCGGCAGCATCAAAGCCAGCAGCAGTAGCAGTGGGGCGAGTAGAATCGACCCTAGCAGCCGCAGCAGCAATGGGGAGAGCAACAGGATCGACCGTCGCAGCAACAGGGAGAGTGGCAGCACCGAACGCAGATGAATCATTGGAGAGAATAAAAGCATCAAATGCAGCAGCCGGAGAGGTGAACGAAACTGCATCAAACGCAGAAGCCGCAGTGGGGATAGTAGCAACATCACACGCGGATGTTGCGGTGGGGATAGTAACAACATCACACGGAGATGCTGCACTCGGGATAGTAGTAGCAGCATCAAACGCACCCGCCGTGCCAGGATGAGAAGCAGAATTGACAGAAGCAGCAGCGGCAGGGCGAGAGTCGGAGAAGAGGGTCGCCTGAGGCTCAGCAAAGGGGTGGCTGTCGTTGGGTGAGAGGAACACGCGCTTTCACTCTTCAAAGGTCAGCCCACCAAAAGTCAGAGCTGGCAGAGAATCCACACCACCATGCTGCCGCTGCTGCTGCTGCTTCTGCTGCTGCGGCGGCCGCGGCTGCTGCTGCAGCTTCAGTAGCGGCTGAGTGTGAATGGATCTGTGCCTTGAAGTTGCACCCTCGTGGGCGACGCTTCCCTTCCACAGCTGCTGCTGTAAGCGCTGAATGAACCTTCTGCAGCCGAAGAAAAGGGCATCACGAACGAACGGATGTTCACCAAGCGGCTCGAGATTGTACTAAAAAAATGCATGTAAATTGCTCTAAATGCACGTGCCATGCGGGTTACCTTCGGAGAAGATGTAACGGTTACAGCACGACTTGTTGCTCCTCTTGAGCAGTCCGCTCCTCCCCAAATCTCCCCACTGCTTCGTCCCATAATGCAGCGCGTGGCGCAACAAAATGGCGTCCTCCTGCCATGAGAGTTTGTGAAAGGGCAATCGCAGCGTGAGCGCGGGAGGTAATGGCAGCGTTTTGCGCTTGAACGAGGCGGCAGCATGGGTGAAAAGAGCCGTTTCTCAAGCAGAGACGAAACCGGGCCAGCCTTGCGAGTTGCTGGCGCCTGTTCACCTAATTATCATGCATGGGTTGGAAGAATGGACAAACTCACATGAGAACGACCCACATGATAATTAGGTCAACAGGCGCTCTCCACACTCACTCTCCATTTCGCTCGCTCCACTTTCACTCTCCACTTCCAAAAATAATAACTCTCTCCTACTACCTCTCACCTCCACTCACCTCTCGAGACCACGCCTGCAGTGGGGACGTAGAGCCGGTTTCTACGCTTTCAGCGGAATGCGGCATCTGAGGCTGCTTGTCGCAAGACCTCCACCCAAGCCGAGAATCGTTTCGCAACTCCAATTCAGAAACTGCTGACACTTATGCCTAGCAGACAGGATTGTATTACATGAAAATTACTCGAGCGAGATGGACGACGGACATATCTTCGAGTCGGAATTTCAGACCCTAACTACAAGGTGCAGCAATCGTCAGCCACTGGCTTTCCGAACCGAAGCATACGAGCGACGACCAGCTACGTGTATCAGGAGTAAAAATCCAAGCGAAGATGCTCATATCCAATTCCGACGACCAAGGAGCGAGCGGACACAAGGGACAACACCGTACAGTACGTTGGTCCAGACTCCAGAGAGAGCCAACGGAAACCTACACGTGCACTAGTTTGGTAGTCAAGGTGGGGACCAACGAGAGCAAAGAAAGGATCAGCGGCGCAATGGAAGGCGAGCTTGCGTTGACCAACCTTCAACAAGAATTGGAGAACCTCGCTGGCATCTTGGCGATGGTGCACAGTCTGCTGCCAACTCGCGTCATTGTGACCTCCTTGCTAGCGATTAGGAACGGAAGGCACGTGAAGAGGCATACTTCACTCGCCCACAAAGACCTGGGCGGATTGCGAATCATAAGGATTTTCGAGAAGCACCCATAGAAAGCAGCCGCCAGCTCATATCTTGCGTTGCAACGAAATGAATGGTGGGCCTAGGACGACGGGGGGTTTCAGCTCGAAGGGGCAACGCTATCGAGACTTGGGATTACACCCCATAGCTCGAAGGGGCGACACTATCGTGTAATTTCTCATGCTATGCGCTCTGCTTTTACGCCCCGAAATCCCATTGCAAAGTTTCATCCTACCTCATCACCTTGGATCACCGTACACCATCTGCTGCCACTGATTTACGTACTCGGTACAAGACACAACCGTGCTTTTTACAAGCAGCTCACTTTAGCAAAAGCTGTAATTGTACAACAGAAACAAGAACAGAAGTAGCTCAGATGAACAATGACAACTACCTACACTTCTTCCAGACTTCACGTGCTCATCTGCACTTTTTCCTACAAATGCTTGTCCAATTGCGATCCATGCCTTTGTTCCAAAGGTCTAGTGTGCTTATGGGGCCACCACCGCTGCTGCCAAGCATGCCCTACGTTCTCCCCTTCACTGATCTTGTCTCCATCACCCTCCTTGTTAGACTCCTCCTCACCACCACGCCCTTCCCCCGTGCAACTCTCCACCACCTCATTCACCGTTGCTTCTCCCACCGCCCACATCACCACGGCACGCCGCCTGTAGTCATCCATAGCCTTCAAGGAAGCTTCCTCCAGAGGTCCAGTTTCCCCGTGCTCCGAACCTCCCTGAGCTGACTCACCCTGGGCTTTCGCCGAATTCATGGCTACTTCTCTTTCTGAGAGCTCCTTCTCTTCACCCAGCTCTTGAGATAGGTATTGCTCACACTCCCCTTCGTCCCACGCGGGTGGGGAGGCAAGCAGGTAGGCTGCCGACAGACCAAGCCCTCCGCCGACAATCTCGGCTTCGTGCTTCTCACCAGTTTTCACAATCTCCCTCGTTAGTGTCAAACTCGAGCCGGCGGCGCCATATGAAGCGTGCAGCAGGTCTGCTTCCCACGGCGAGAGGGGGACATCCAACCCTAGGCCGGCAAGGTGGCCGCATCTGTGGATATGATACGGCGCGATCATATCTGGCAGGCGGTCAGCCGTCACGGGCTGTCGGTGCTCCCGCGTGGCCCGCTCATCCCGCATGTGTTCCTTCAAAAACGACGCTGCGTCCGTGCTGTGGGCTGATGGCTCTTCCGACTGCGCGGTGGGGGATTCCGAAGGCAGAAGTATTATTCCTGAAGCAACAAGGTGAAACGCGACGATAGGAAAAAAGAATATAACAGACCTGTCACGACTTGTGCCTAACGATAAAAAAACGTATGTTCTCCGCGAATAAAGACCAAATTTACCAGGAGCGGAAATTCCTCACCTTATGCTCGCTGGCTCGCGAATTGACTGAGTACTCCGCGCGTGTTAGAAACGCCCGACGAACTTCCCCAAATCGCACAAACGGCCGCGTTTCTATGAAGTGGCCTAATCGTGACGGTTCTCCACCATGAGCGGCGACGCGGTGACCAGCCCAGGCCAGCCGCGAATCAAGCGCTATCGTGAGCGCCGCCATCGTGCCAGGGATTTATGAAGTTCCAGGCCGCCTGAATAAACTTAACCTGTGTGTAGATAGGGGCGGACAGGAAAGACACGAAACGACCATCTCCAGCCTTCCCATGAAAAGAGCTTTCAGCAGCATCCTGAACTGCCGCATCAACTTTGCTGAGCTGGTTGCTTTGCATTGCGCGCCGTAATCTGCGCTGCCGTGGCCTGGAATTTGTGCAACGGAACGCCATGAAGAGACAACGGACTGAAATGTCATGACGAGTCCTGTCAACAGAAACCTAGAGATTGGGGAATTGGTTGCAGATGACCCGCATTGCGTTGGTGTCCAGGTTCGTGTCACCGGCGCTCGGGCTGGGGGCGACATAGGGGGGCGTGATTGGCTCAAGGGTGTACTTCAATGCGGTGATATGCGATGCTGTGCCATGTCAAGGCGGTGCATTTGCAGTCGCTAGGCGACCAGGAAACCAGCTCACACACTAATCCTTAAACATGATATGCTTTAATTCTTAATGAAGTGTTTTGAAAGCGCAGCTGCATGTAACGCATATTGTCAGTGATAGTTTTCCAGCTTAAATTGTCAAAAGGAAAGATGCTAATTAATAATGACAAGGAAGACATGGGTGGCAGGGCTGAAGGTTGTTGGGCTCATTAGCCTCATCGGTGTATAACTCGTAACTATACATATATACAAAAGATTCACTAAATCAGTATTCTTGCATGGAGAATGAAATCCTTTCTGAGTAAAACACTTGTAAGTAATATTTGTAAGGATATATACACCATTCTTCCTCAACAATCCACCGCGGAGGACATGCGAATGCTTCAAGCCAAGGAAAGGACAGAACCAGCTAATGGGCTCTACTATACTTGGAGGCACGCTCACAAGTCATCATTGAGCCGAAATATTTTCACCAAACCTAGCGTTTTTTTGTGAGAATACCATGCCTAAAGCGTCTAATGTTCAGTACAAGATATACTGAGCACTATTTCAGCAAACCCCATTTGCTGACCATCATCACTAAATAATTTTGGACTCGAGTTCAGAAAATTTCGGGTTTCCGCAAGCTGGAGTGGGAGAGCTGAAACTGTGGAAAACAGTTTTTGCGAATCCGTGATGCTGCGGTGTGCATACCGCCAAGAGCCCACTGTGGGTGAGGCGTTGTTTTGACAAGCACGCAAGCACTTCACGTGATTGGCGGAGCGTGTCTGGCCTGGTCTGGACCAAACGGAAAACATGCGTGTGAGACACGCACTGACTCTCGCGAGTCTCGAGTCTCGACTGAAGGCCTCATGAGGGGTTTGTCTTCTTCGCGTCCTTGACAAGCCCAGTCGCGATAAGATGAGGGGGGATTGAGTTCAGCTAGACGCGCGAGTGGCCCAGTGGATAGAGGAGGGGAGGAAGGAAGTGAGGCGACGGCGGAGAGCGGGCAGGGCGGGCGGAGAGAAAGGGGTGGGGCGGCGAGATAGCGCGCATTGGCAAAAATCGTGTTTGTCTCAAAAGAATCGACCCAAATTGCTCCCACTTTGCCACGTAGGCGTTTTTCTTTATTGAATGGACCGCCTTTCCCCCCGCCCCCCCAACCCGTTTTTCCCGCCCTTCCCCTCCGAAATTCGGACACCCGCTGGAAATTCGTGGAATCACAAATAGTCACGAATACTTGCTCCAAAGCCAAATCCACCATGTAGTTGTGGCATGCCACATCAGCTTTTGTAATAGACTTATGATAATTTCGGCGGTAGCTTCTCAATCTCAAGAGCCTCCTATGCACGTTGATTGTATCATATTTATTTGGATTAGCCCATGCCATTAATGTAGATAGGGGCGCAAAAAAATACATGACAAATAACCAACTGTTTTTTATTTTATGTTTTTGATATCTTTATATAAAGCTTATTTCAAAAAACATTAAAAGATCTAGAGTTAAATTTTATCAATGTATAATAATAGTCACTTCAAGGTATACGAAAATTAACTATGTCTGAATTAGATAGACTTTTTGTTTACGTTTAATACTTGATATTATTTAGAAAATAAATATTGCCCTCCTATGACAAAGATTCTTAAAAAATTTATTACTGCAGTGACATAAATTAATATGATCTATATCACTGCTAAATATCTCACTAAAATTCATATTTGATTTATTTGTTATGCTCAAGCTATTACTAATTTCATAAAAAGAAATCAGAGTTTTACTACTCATGATATCTTATATGGAAAATGAAAAAATTAAGTTAATGTACTTCTTTAAATCTTACTGTGCGTTCCCCTACGGCTCCTGCCACAACCGAACGTACACGTCATTCAACATTTAAGAATCCAAACGGATGTCATTTTGGCGCTCGAAGAAAATCCACCAGTGTTCTGTCCAATCAAATGTGGCTCGCATGTTGAAATCTTAGCGTTACGGTAAAACATATATTCGTTACTGTTTGTGATTTCACGAAATTCCAGCGGATGCCCGAATTTCGGAGGGGAAGGGCGGGAAAAACGGGCTGGGGGGGCGGGGGGAAAGGGGTCGATTCAATTGAGAAATACGCCTACGAGGCGAGCGGGGAGCAATTTGGGTCGATTCTTTTGAGACAAACACGATTTCTGCCGATGCGCGCGATCTCGCCCGTGGGGCGCTACAAAGCCCCGTTCACAGCGCGAGGCGAAGCAGGGGAAGGTGGAAGGAGAGGGGGAGAGGGTGATTTAGGGCGGGTGGGGGGGGAGGGGAGGGAAGGGATGGTGGATTGGGGTGGGTGGGTGGGGGGGGAGGGGCTGGGGGTTGTTTTGGTTGGACGGGGAAGCCAAACACACACCCAGCTCTGGTTTGGACTTGCGTTGCGACGCTTTTAGTCCTGAATTTCACGAATTTCCGTCATTGGTTTCGAGAGCTCCACTCAACGCTTGTCCTTGAAGCACGTTGAGCTTCCAACCAACTCCATCGTTTTCTCACGAGTTTCCAGGCTCATCGCCGCATTCCGCGCGGACATTCATTTGGCGAATTAGGAGACCGCAATTCATCCTCAGACTTACTTTAAGCCGCAATTAACGGCGTGGAGCATGTCGGGCGACAGGGACCTTCGCGAGAGACTCAGGCCGCCCGGCAGCGGCAGCAGCAATAGTAACGACCTCGCTTCAAGCGTCAGATTTGCGAGTTCTAGCCAGCTCTTGTCACTGGGAGATTCTTCTCCGCCTCGCGATAGGCTCGCCTCGTCCGCGAATCCCGCTACTCTCGCGTCTGACCTCGCCTCCTCCTCGTCGTCGTTCTCCTCATCCTCCGCTTTCGCCTCCTTCTCCGCCCTCGCAGCTTCGAGTCGCAGCTCGCCGAACCTTTCCAGCTTCGACGGCCGAGCCGCGTCGCTCGAACCTACCGCGAACGGCGCCGCGTTCATCGGCGTCAACGGAGTCAACGGAGTCGTCGGAATGAACGGAATAAACGGCATTAAGGAGGATTGTTTGGGAACTTCAGAATTGCCCACGAGCCGCGCTTCTGGAGTGATCATGATGAATGGCGGCGGAATCGAGTCGCGCGATGGGGGGACTCGCGCCGCAGCGCAAACGCCGCCAGCGCCGGGGGAGGCGTCAGCATTTGCTGCAGCGGCAATTGCGGCGGCGAAGACCGTACAGAGACGCGCGCTGGAGTGCGCAATCGACGCCGTCGATGCGCTCACCGCCTGGTGCGGCGCAGCGAGCGGCGGAGGAATCGGCGGAGGCGGAGCGGCTGGGGGAAGCGCGGCAGGGACAATGGGCGGAGCGCTGATGCGGCGGGGAGGCGGCGCGGGGGGCGGGGGCGCAAGCGGGCTGTGGGGAGGCGGAGACCCGCTGAAGGGGAGTCGCAAGATGTGGGTGGCGGGGCTGATGGTGGTTGCGCTCATCAGCCTCCTGGTGCGACTGGGGGGAGGGGGAGGGGGAGGGCGGGGGGGGCCGGGAAAGGGTGGGACGAGTGGGGGAGGGTTGGGGAGGGTCATTGGGGAGAGGGGTCGGATGGTCGGGCAGCGTGAGTGGAAATGGCGGGGAAAACGGGTCGTGAGGAAAGGGGGGGAGAGAGTGGTAGGCAAAGCAGGGCATAGTGAAGTGTGGAAGGGGAATGAAGGAGCGCACCCTCCCCACACAACCAAACCCTTCCGCTGTCAAGCTCTCTGTCTTCGCAATCTCGTCCCCCCCCCCCTTCCCCCGATCCCCCCCTTCTCCTCTCCTTCCCCTTTCCCCCGCCCCCCTCGTCCCCGTCTCCCTGTCTGTCTGTGACGCCTCTCGCTCGTACTTGTCTCTCTGACTCTACCGTATCTCACCTGCCTTTACCGCAGCTCACCTGCCTCTACCGCATTGGACCTGTTCCCTCCCCTCGGTACCACCAGAACACGTCACACATGCGGGACTTTAAAAAGGATGACGTGGCGCCCTTCGTTACAAGGTAACCCGTGCTTCCTCGCGTCGCCCTTTCTCGTTACCCCTAGGCACACCGCACTGCACCACATTACACCACACCACACCTGCTCTCCGCCTGCCCGCCCTAACCCCTTCCCCTCTTTCCCTCCCACTCTCCCTCCACTCCCCCCCCTTCCCTTTCGCCTTCCCCTCTCCCCTTTCCCTCCCTCCCGTTTTTCCCCTCTTCCCCTCGTCTTTCTTCCCCCTCCCCCCCAACCCCTTCCGCCATCCCCTCCGGTCCTCGCCTCCCCCAGCCTCGCAAGCAGCGAGGCGCAGCTGGCGCAGCAGGTGCGCGCGCAGGCGGGCGCGGTATCCGAGCTGGCGGAGCGCGCGCAGCAGCAGGTGGAGCTGCTCGGCGCGCTGCTGAAGCGCACCGAGGCGCTCGAGGGCGCGCTGGCGCGCCTGGCGGACGGGCGCGAGCGGGAGGTGGTGGCGCGCGAGATTGGCGCGCTGGGGGGCGGGGGAGGGGGCGGGGGAAGTGGGGGGGAATGGGGAGGGGAAAGGGGAGGGGGAGCGGGGGAAGGGGAAGGTGAGAGGAGGCAATTGGTGGTGGAGGCGGGGGAGATAGCGGAGCAAGCAGGGAAGACGGGAAGGCAGGCCAGCCGCCAGGTGAGCTGGGGACGAGGTCAGGCTGCAAGGGGAATGGAGAGGGGTGGGGTGCGGTTGAATGGGCGGCATGAAAGCATGGGGAGGGGGTGGGGTGGGAAGGCTTTATGTTTGTTAGAAACGATACCTGTAATGTGCTTGCAGGGCAAGCGGCAGTGAGTGAGTTGTTCCGGGGGCGTTGGGTGATGGCAAGGAGCCTGCTGTTACGTAAGGAAACAAGGAGAGCCATAAGGAGGGGGGGCAGACAGATTGAGTATGGGTGGGTGGTTGGTTCATCGGATGGGTGGAGCATCTTGAGGAGAGCAGCAGACAGATTTGTCGGCTTGCTTTTTCTGAGAAGAACCGGGAAAGAGCATGTTGCACACAGAAGACAATGAAATTCCGGGGTTACCAGACACAAGCCAGAGACTTCGGGTTGAGGCAGCATATGGAGTATGGCGGGGTGAGAGGCGAGCATGGGTGCGCTGAGTGCTTGGGATGGGATGCCAGGCGTGCAGAGCCCCTCATGGGGTGCAAGCATGACTGCGCCTGGCAGGGGCGTTTGCCTCTCATGCCTTTGCCCCTTATCCCCAACTCCCTGCCCCACTCCCTGCCCCAACTCCTAGTCCTCTCCTGCCCATCCCACTCCTCTCCCTGCTCCCTGCTCCTCCCTGCTGCCCCATTGTAAGCCTGCTGTACAATCGTCCTCCCCAGCGCCCATCTCCCCCCTCTCTCTGTCCTCCTTGTCACTCGTCTCTCCCATTTCCACCCACTTTCCCCCCTCCCTCTCCCCCTTTCCATCCATCTCACCCCATTTCCCCCCAATTTCCTCTACGTCCTCCCATCTCCCCCTGTGCCCCCCCCCCACTCGCCCCCCCCAGTTACGGCTACAGCGGGCGATCATAGACGGTCTCAAGGCACGCGTGCAGCAGCTGCAGCAGGAGGTCGCTGCTGCCCATGCCTCCACTGCTGCTGCTGCCACCACTGCTGTTGACACTGCTGCTGCCACGAGGGGTAAAGGAGGGGGAGCTAGAAGGGAGCAGCAGCAGCAGCAACAGCAGCGGCAGGAGCAGCGGGAGCAGGGGAAAGGGGAAGGGGAGGGGCAGGGGCAGGGGGGTGAGAAGGGGCAGGAGCAGGGAGAAGGGGAGGAGTCACAGCGGCAGCAGCAGGAGGAAGGGGGGCAGGGGCAGCAAGAGCAGGAGAGGGGTGGGGGAGGGGCGGAGCAGAGAGGGGCAAAGGAGGAGGGAGGCATGGTGAGAGAAGGTCGGGGTGAAGACTTGGAGCTGATTGGACGAGACGAAGGTGAGGGGGAGGAGGGATTGGTTTGGCTGTGGGGATTCCTGACCTGGGCAGCAGCATTTGAGCCACCTAAGAACAAACAAGCTGCTTGTATTTTGATGAATTGGTCTGTAGTCGTATTTGTTTTGCTTCTCCCCTTGCTCTTTTAAATAACCTTTCTTTTCACCTTTATGTGTGGTTTGCGTGGGTGTGGGTGTGGGTGTGTGTGTGGGCGTGGGTGTGTGTGTACACGTGTGCATGGGTGCATGGTGGCATATGTCAGAATACACGCCGTTTCGAGAGTACACTACACCATCTGGCTACAAGTTCGTTCGCTTCAGGTATGCTCCACTCCTCTCCACTTTGCTCCACTCCACTCCACTCCACCCCACTCCACTCCTCTCCACACCACTCCTCATAATTTCTCACTCGTTTCAGCTATACTCTAGCACTCCAATGATCTCCACCGCTCCCAAACTCATTGCACTCCTCATGTCATCCCCTCCCACCCATCCCTCCCATGTTATCTCAGAACATTACTCCCAACCTTTGATTCACAATCCCTTGCCATCCCATCATATTCCACCAAAACGCGTTCCTCGCATCTTCCCTCTCTCTCCCCTCCACAGCACACCACAACTCCCCTAACAGCCTCTTCCGTCTTTCCTCACGTCTCCCCTCTTCTTCCCCTTCCCTTCCCCCTCTCCTCCCCTTCTCTCCCCCCTGCAACCCACCAGTGCGCATCGCATCTCACCAACAGCCTTTGCAGCAGTGGGGGTGGCCCCTCTCACCGCGCGCCACCTCTCCCAACCGCTCTCCCACTGCGTGTACGTGTTCCTAGCCATTCCCCCCTCTACACACTTTGCCCCCCCTCACTTCACCCCAGTTTCGCCCTCAGTCCTCCTCCCTCCCTCCCGCACTCTCCTGCTCGATTCCCCTCTCACTCTCCCTCTGACTCCTCCCCTCACTTTCCATCTCACCTCCCCTCTCGCTCCCCCTCTCACTTCCCTATCGCTCCCCCACTTTCTCTCCCTCTCACTTCCACCCTTGGCCACTGCAGTGTTCTACTACCTTTCACCACGTAACATCCCCCACCCCTCCCCACCCCACCCCACCCTTGCCGCTGCCCCACTCCTGGTTATGTTGATTGAACGGCCCACCTTTGTCCCTGAAATTTTCAACAAAACCTTGCTGTCTGCCTTGATTGATTTACTTTACTGGTCCACGTCACGGAAGTGGGCTTGCAGTTTCACCTCGTGTGCAGTTTCACCTCGTGTGCAGTTTCACCTCGTGTGCAGTGTCACCTTCATCCTCACACTCCTCCCCCACTTTGCCCTGCACACACTCTCCTCACCATCGTCCCTCACTCTTGTCTCCCAATCACTCCCTCTCACTCCCTCGCAACCCCTCTCATCGCTCCTCACTCCCCTTCTCCCCCTCACTCCCCCTCACTCCCCCTCACTCCCCCTCACTCCATCAACATCCCCTTCACTACCGCCCTCTTCCATCTCCCTCCCCTTCCCCCTCTTCTTTGCGGGATTCCCTCTTGCCCCAACAGGGGCAGCTACTCAAGGGCCTTCCCCTCACACCCCCCTCATTCCCCCCCTCCCTCTTGCTCCTTCCCCTCACACCCCCCTCATTCCCTCCTCCCTCTTGCTCCTTCCCCTCACACCCCCCTCCCTTTTGCTCCCTCTGCCTTTTCCCCTAATCTCCCCAGCTGGTTGCCCCCAGACGGTTCCCCCCTTGCCCCAATACGCGGAGCCCTGTCAACGGTCTTCCCCTCACACCCCCCCGAGGCCCCCATGGAAACAGTTGTGCTGCGTTGCTCGTTCCCCCCACCGCCTGCGCCTGGGGAGGGGGAAAGGCAGGGGGAAGGGGGGGAGGGGAGGGGGAGTGGAGGGGAGGGGGCGCTGCCGTTTGGGGGCAGGGTGGCAGCAGTGATGGCGGGAGGCATGACTGTTCCCCTCATCAGGTGCGTGGTGGGTATGGTGGTGTGCGGTGGTGCATGGGGTGTGGTGGTGTGTGGCGTGTGGTGTGTGTTGGTTTTTCATTGCCTCTCTCTCTCTCTCTCTCTCTCTCTCTCTCTCTCTCTCTCTCTCTCTCTCTCTCTCTCTCTCTCTCTCTCTCTCTCTATCTCTCTCTCTCTCTCTCTCTCTCTCTCTCTCTCTCTCTCTCTCTCTCTCTCTCTCTCTCTCTCTCTCTCTCTCTCTACTCTCTTCCAGTTTGTCTCGCCTCCTTGCCTGCCCCAATCCTTCCTCCCTGTCTCTCCTCCACACTTCCTCTCCTTAACTCCACCTCTCCCTTCCCTGTCTCCCATACCACCAACTTCCACCCATCTCACCCATCCTTATAACACACAGGGAGCAACACCCCTCCGACAAACCACCCACAACCACCTCTCCGCCCTTCCCTCCCCCCTTCCCCTCGCACCTCACCCTCTGCCCACCGCCCCTCCACGGCCCCACCATCTCTCCGCGCGCGCTCCTCGAGTTCCTCACCTACCACCACCACCTCATCGGCGTCACCTCCTTCCTGCTCTACAACGCCGGGGGCGCCAACGCAGGTGGAGCCACCGACCCGGTACGCACCGTGATCCAAGCCCAGGCAGACCAGGGCAGGGCGGAGCTAGTGGAAATGACAGGGTTACTGGAGCGAGAGCAGGTGTGGAACCACGGGCAGGTGCCGGCGCTGCAGGACTGCTTGTACCGATCGCGCATGACGTCGCGCTGGGTGGTGTATCTTGACTTGGACGACTACCTATGGCTGCCACCTGTTACCGAGCCCCGGCCGCTCCCACCCTTGCATATACTGTTAGAGACCTACGATGCTGGTAACTCGGTTACTGATGGTGCTGCTTTGAGTGGCAAAACTGGTGATGACGGCAGCGGCAGGGGTGGTGGGGCGGTTGCAGCGGCAGGGGATACGAGCCTTAGTGGGTGGGGCGAGTGGCGGCAGCAGCAGCAGCAGCAGCGGCAGCACGGGAGGCAGCCCGGGAGGCAGCAGCAGCACAGTGGCCGGCATAACGTTCGGCTCGTTGTGGTTCTCCATCCACCTGTGCCGCCCGCGTGCCGACCACGAGATTGAAGTCCTCGGCCTGCCCGACCCCAGCGCACCCGGCATGGCTGCAGGGGGAGACACCGGGGCAGCAGCAGGCGGGGTGGATGCAGGGGGGGGCGGTTGTGGCGAGGAGGGGTGGTGCGGGATAAGAAGGTACCGAAGGAGTCGCAGTGGGGGGGGGAGAGGGAGTGCGAGATGCAGGTGGAGCGGTTTGTGTTTCACTGGCCGGAGCCGGCGTGTCACGACAATGAGAAGGATGGCGAGAGGATTTTCGACCCGTCTTTGTGCCCTGGCGAGCAGGGGCACCGGAAATTCATTGTTGATCCTCGGAGGGTGAGTGGCCCTTCTTAACGTCACTCATCCCTCATCTTCCTTCCCTCATGTTTCCACCTTCATCCTTCATGCCGCATCCCATTGATGTACCCTGCGCACCTCACCTCATCCTTTCACTCACCTCATCCTTTCACTCACCTCATCCTTTCACTCACCTCATTTTTTCACTCACCTCATCCTTTCACTCACCTCATCCTTTCACTCACCTCATCCTTTCACTCACCTCATTTTTTCACTCACCTCATCCTTTCACTCACCTCATCCTTTCATTCCGCATTCTGGGGGCTGGTGAGTGCAACTCTCTCGCTCGACCCCCATTCATGAGCCTTTCTTCTCGACTACTGATACATGACCCTCCCTTTAGTTCCCTCCCCTCTCTTCCTTCCATCTCTCCGTTCCATCGTTCCCACCCCACACAGGTGGACTGCATGGGTGTGTTTGGTCCAATCCCCTCGCACCCCACCTACCCATCACGTATGGTGCATCTGAGCACGAGCAACTTCCAGCTGCTGCATTACAGGGAGCTGGGGTTGGGCACACAGCAGGGCGTGTGGTGTGGTGGCTGGAACACCTTTTCCCCTTCTCTCTTATTCTCCCCCCTTCCCTTCCCTTCCCTTCCCTTCCCTTCCCTTCCCTCCTTTCCTTCCCTCATAGCTCCTTTCCCCACTGCAACCAGGTTGACAGCATGGGGGTATTCGGCCCCATTCCCTCCCACCCCACCTACCCCCGCATGGCGCATCTCTCCACGAGTGACCTACAGCTGCTGCACTACAGGGAGCTGGGGTCGGGCACGGAGCAGGGCGGGCGGTGGGATGCACTTTCCCCTCCTCTTCTCCCTTCCTCCTTCACTCCCCCCTCCCCTCCCTCCCTCCCTTTCGCCCCACTGCAGGTTGACAGCATGGGGGTTTTCGGCCCCATTCCTTCCCACCCCACCTATTCCCGCATGGCGCACCTCAGCACGAGTGACCTACAGCTGCTGCACTACAGGGAGCTGGGGTCGGGCACGGAGCAGGGCGTGTCGTGTGGGATGCACTTTCCCCTCCTTTTCTCCTTTCCTCCCTCACTCCCCTCCCTCCCTCCCTCCCTCCCTCCCTCTGCTCCCTCCCCACGGCAACCAGGTGGACAGCATGGGAGTATTCGGTCCGATACCTTCGCACCCTACCTATGCTCGCATGGCGCATCTGAGCACGAGCGATCTCCAGCTGCTGCACTACAGGGAGCTGGGGTCGGGCACGGAGCAGGGCGTGTGTGACGAGCCCACCCCGCGCTGGCGCACGGTGGGGTGGTGGCACACCGATGCCAGCTATGCACGGTCGATTGCGGCCCTGAGACAACGAGCGCAATGCAACTTCACTAGTGGAGGGGTGAGTTGGTTGGGTATGTGCGGTGGGATGGGGTGCGGTGGGGTGTTGGTTGGTACAGCAATGCAATGCTGCTGCATTACAGGGAGCTGGGGTCGGGCACGGAGCAGGGCGTGTGTGACGAGCCCACCCCGCGCTGGCGCACGGTGGGGTGGTGGCACACCGATGCCAGCTATGCACGGTCGATTGCGGCCCTGAGACAACGAGCGCAATGCAACTTCACTAGTGGAGGGGTGAGTTGGTTGGGTATGTGCGGTGGGATGGGGTGCGGTGGGGTGTTGGTTGGTACAGCAATGCAATGCTGCTGCATTACAGGGAGCTGGGTCGGGCACGGAGCAGGGCGTGTGTGACGAGCCCACCCCGCGCTGGCGCACGGTGGGGTGGTGGCACACCGATGCCAGCTATGCACGGTCGATTGCGGCCCTGAGACAACGAGCGCAATGCAACTTCACCAGTGGAGGGGTGAGTCGGGGCTGAGGGAAAGAGGGTGTGCAGTGGGGTGGTGTACGGTGGGGTGGTGGCACACCGATGCTTCCTATGCACGGTCGATTGCGGCATTGAGGCAACGAGCGCAATGCAACTTCACCAGTGGAGGGGTGAGTCGGGGCTGAGGGAAAGAGGGTGTGCAGTGGGGTGGTGTACGGTGGGGTGGTGGCACACCGATGCTTCCTATGCACGGTCGATTGCGGCATTGAGGCAACGAGCGCAATGCAACTTCACCAGCGGAGGGGTGAGTTGGTGCTGAGGGAACGAGAGTGTGCAGTGGGGTGGTGTGCAGTGGGGTGGTGTGCAGTGGGGTGGTGTGCAGTGGGGTGGTGTGCAGTGGGGTGGTGTGCAGTGTGCTGAGATGTGGTGGGACGGTGGTACACTGATGCCAGCTATGCATGGTCGATTGCTGCCCTGGGGCAGCGAGCACAATGCAACTTACCACATAGACGAGAGACGAGACGAGTGTGAGTTAGAGGCTGCATTTTTTACCATTCCTCGTGCCTCCTCCCTCCTCCCTGTGCATCCCACCTCTGCCTTCCACCCCTCCTCCCTGCAGTGCCAAGCCTCGCCATACACGTGATGCAACGGTTGAGGCCTGCTCTTCCCATCACTAATACACTCTCACCACATAGTCGTCCTTCCGAACCCTTTTGAACCTGCCCTCGAACCCTCCAAACCCTCCAAACCTTCCAAACCTTCCGAATCTTCCGACCGAACCTTCCAAACCTTCCAAGCCTTTCGGGCTTCTGAACCTTCCAGACGTGCAGAGCATGCTCAATGCTCAATGCTCAATGCTCATGCGTCAGCACACAGTCCTCACTTGGAGACTTGGTTTGGGGCTTCTGCCAGAGAGAAACGTGTGAGCTTGTGGACGGCCTTACTAATTGGAATCAGGTATCTATTGCGTGCATGAACCCAAAGCTTCATAGGAAGGCTGTATTGTAGCAATATCCACCCACCCTCCCTAACTGGTAAGAGTGCAAATCTCATCTTGGCATCCATTTCTTCTTTCCATAGTAAGTTGAGGTTGGAACGGTCACCGTACACAACCTACTGCAACGCAAAACGACCTCATAGTAATCATGGAAAAGTAATGCCTCCTATGAACCGTGCTCCCTGGACTTCAAATACCCAACTTTGATCCAACCATGACAAATGAAATGCCTAATGAATCAAATCAGGATCCAATGACAGCCATTTTCCGGATCGGAGTGTCCTCTTCGTTACACGCTAAGAGCGTCAATCCAGAACATATCTACAGCGACCGTCCAGAGGTCGAGCGTGCAGCGCGGGGAGCAGCGTTGCTCCCCGCGCACGACGCCTGTACAAACCCGCGCGATCTTTCGCCGCGCCAGGGAAGATTTCTCGCACGTCCGACAGCGGGTGCGGAACGGAAGCGCGGGTGGTGTGGACGGAGCGGCGAAATGGATGGGACGGCGGGATCGAAGGGGCGGCGGGATCGAAGGGGCGGCGGGATGGAAGGTGGGCGGTCAGACGGCGGTGGTGGAGGGCGCGTCGGCGAGTCGTTTGAGCAAGGCGCGCTGCGAACGGTCGTCCGCCACTCCGTTCACCTCCTCCCACCCGCTCAGAATCTGCAGTGGAGCGGCCGTGACGAGCGCAGGGAGGGATACGCGGAGAAGTAAAAAAGAGATCCACTTTTTTAGATTACAGTCTGGGGGCTCGTATTTTGCTGCCGGGATGGATTGGCTGTAAAGATATTTCGTGCTGATTACAGCTTGGGCTTTTCGCGCACCTCGGCGAGATACCTGCATTGTGCACGAACTGAACGACACACCTCGGCGAGATACCTGCGATCGGCATGCGACGCACCTTGAGGTACTCTGCGATCGGCATGCGACGGTACTCTATCGCCGACCAGCCGCTCATTGATGACGCGACGTTGCCGCGATGCGACCTGAGGAGGCGAGACAGGGAATCGGTGTGTGAGAGAGAACATGACAAACATACAAGCTTGTTGTTTTCTCAATGTGACGAGCGCGAAAGACAGGGAGATTCGTATATTGAGACGAATCGTGCGTGTGCTGAGCACGTGTATGGTGCGAGCGTGACGCGTGAAAGGCGCCCCCTTCCTACTCACTGAGGCTCGGAGCCGCCTGCGAAGGTGTCAGCGAGGAAATAGCTGGCTACCGCGGCTCCTACAGTGATTGCGACGGGCGTCGCGGCTTGCTGCAGGTTCGCGACGAGGAAAGGGAAGAACAGAAAAGGGCGAATGGGAGATGGAACAACGCGAGACAACTGCGAGGGGAAGGGAGCTTTAGAAGGGAGGTATAACACGTGCGCGGCGAGGCCATGAAGGATGCGGCAACACACGCGGAAAACGGAGAGAACAACACAGGTGAGCGGAGAACTTGCCGTAAGAAACCTACTCGAAAGGCGGCGACAGAGGACATGGTGATGCTGTGACTTGCGAGAACGGGCGACTCGAGTAGAGGCTACAAGTAGAAGCAGGATTCAGCGGCGATGAGAGTCTCGTGGTAGCCTTTTGATGTATGCGAGGGACGAAAAATAGGCGAGAGCCGCTAATCTACACCTTCAATCGCTGGCTTTTCCAGCGGCGCCATTGCCTGTGCGCTAGACTAGAGTCGCGCCATTCTTCAACAAGATGGATGATGGTTTGGTTGGCATTACAGCAGAGCATGCGCTGTGTATGTGCTGGCGTCCAGCAAGGCAGGGCACGCCTTGTGAGAACACGAAACTGACGTGGATCACGACCACGCCACGTTTGCCAGATCTTGCAACACAAACGAGAACAGAAGCATTTTTCAAAACATAGTTTCAAAACATAAGTTTCTGTGTAGCGAATGCTTCTGTCCTTAAATAAACGGCACCATTAAGGTGCGGAGACCAAATGTAGCTTCTTCTGTGACATCTATCATAATAAATACATAAATCTAATGTGAATTATCTGCAATTTTAATCTATTTTAAAATAGGGCCTAAGACCATGTATCCTAACTGAAAGTCAGCTACTAGACCACGTTCATATGGTGGTAGTCAGAGGCATACTACAGAGGGGATTTGCCAAGAGTGTCAGGGCACGTGACTAGCAGCCAATGATGGGCTTCCAGCATGCCCAACCAATTTGTGGTTCCGAGTGGATAACGTACCCGTCTCAAGTGGGTCAACCGTATTTGTGGGGGAGAGTGGCTTTCCAGTTTGCACTGTCAAGGTTCAAATGGTGTCAGGGAGCTGCCCGTCCTGACGAGGGCCACATATGATTGGCGGGTACATTGAGCGCGGCAGCGGGAAGCGATGTGAAGCACCTATGACACGAGAGAACCACTGTTTCGATTTTCCCAAAGGCCGGGAGATTCGTTATAGACAACCGAAGATGACCGTTGGCATCCACTCTGGCAATACACTACCTCCATCCGCGAATCCCGGCACCTGCATGGGGCGGGACATTTCTCGCTCCCAACCCAACCGCAACATTTTCGTCACTCAGGCGCCGCGGCAGCCTCGAGTGCATCCTGACAATCTCCAGGCCTGTGATCGGTGAGATGTCAGTCCATGCAGTTGGGCATATGCCAAGATGGGGGTGAGCAGGCGTTGAAAAGCAGAACTGTTGTTCCCAAGGGGCCTGATGTGCACTTTCAACAGAGGCGTACAGACAGCCGTGACCGTCAGATTCTAGCGTACAGCTCGATGAGCGGACCAGATGAACTAGATGAACGGACTCGATGAAGAGCTGCATGGAGATTTCTGATAGAAGTTCAGTTGTCATGGCTGGATGCCTGCCATTTCTGTTGTAGCTGTGGCTGCGGCAGGGCTCTGGCAATATCTGCTTGAACGCCCGCGAGATGACATATTTGCGTTTGCCTCCCATGTCCTCCGTTGCTCGACGGCTGGCAGTGAATTGCTTTTCAACCTTTTGTGGCTCACAGTCTGTTCTAAAACCAGATTTCTGGGCTCATTATCCGGCTGGAGGCCGGATTCACCGCAAACAGGCATAGATTCTTCAGGCAGGTCTTCGGTAATTACGCTAGAAAGTTAGCGAGAAGTCCTGCTTTAGTAGGAGAGTAGTGGATTCTTATCCATGGCGGAACCATCACTATCTATCCTCACCTGCACTGAAATGAACGAACTTGAAACGCAGATGGTTCACGTCGACGATTTTGCTCGTCTGACCTCGTCGACGAGTGACGCAATACCTGACCCAGTGTCGCGCACAGGAGCCATTGATCCGAACGCTTCAGGAGTCTCCTCGTTTCATACAATCGAGCCGCAGGAAATCCACGACGCGATGCTTCGTCAGGATACTACACTAGCAGCTGAAAGAGATCCAGCAGTTGCAGAAGCTGTAGCGAACGATCAAGATGAGACTGTTTTAAGAGATTCTGAAGAGGTCAGACAACTTGACGATTATCGAGACACTTGTATGGACTCAAATGAGGCCATTAATCAGCATCAGTCGGTAATTGATCATGATAAGATGGACGTGGATGCGATTCCACCACCAATTGACCAAGATCAGGCTTTTCCGAAGGAGATCCATGAAGAGACTCATCGAGCGGCGACGGACCAGGAGATTTCTGGAGCCCCGACTGACCACGAGATCCATGAAGGCGCTGACCATAAAGACTGTGGCTTGAAAACGTCCAGCACAAAAGAAGAGGTGAAAATGGAGTCGTGCAATGAGGTGGAATCGCCGGCGGTGATAGAAGCTACAGGAGCCGTCGCGACTGAAGCTACAGAATCCACGGCGAAAGTTGCAGGTGACGCAGAGGCTGAAGTCCCAGGAGCGGCGACGATTGAAGTCGCAGGAGACGTGGCGACAGAAGCTGCAGGAGAAACGGTAACAAAAGTTGAAAGTGCGTCAGTTGACCATGTGGAGAGTCGAGGGGAAGAAGCGCCAGTTCCGGCTGGTGAAGCAAACGAGGACGTGAAGATGGAAGACGTAAACGACGGGGCCCATGGCAGCGACGAGTCCACCGAGGCCAACCAAGGTGCGACTGACGGCAGCAACGACGCGAACAAGGATGACGGCACTGGCGATGTCGTCGCTGCGAGCGACAAGGAAGGCGACACTGCGAAGGACGACGCCGAAGCTAGAGCCGCGAATCCCGCAATGGATGCCGACAACGCCGCTAATTGCAGCTCCCCTCGGGCGACGTCGCAAAAAGCTAACGACGCTTCTGCGATGTCGCCTCCGAGAGACCCCGCCGTTGCCGCGTTAGGCGCTGAGACCAACGGCGACACGCCTCCGCCGTCAAAGCCTGGCGCCGGCACGCCGAGCTTCTCCGTGGGGACGCCGTCCGTTGCGGCGGATACTCCGCGGCAGCAGACTATCAGTCCGGACAGCCAGTCCAGCCTGGTCGATCCAGGCCTGGTCGCAGGTAAGAGACCCCGCTCTCTCCCGGAAGAGATTCACTTTAATGTTACGGTATACTACGTCATCGCCGTGGTGACATTGATGTTGTTACGGTTGTTGTTGTAAGGATCGTCACTGACTTGCACTTCTCCGGTCTGATTGCCGTTCACCGTGCAGATGAGAGCGCGGCGCCTTTCACCATCAGCCAGTGGCAGCAGCTGGAGCAGCAAGCGCTCATTTTCAAGTACCTTGTCTCCGGCGCCGCCGTCCCTCCTGAGCTTATCGACTCGCTCTATTCCACCGCGGACTCGCCTCGCCAATCACCCGACGGCCCTGGTACGGTGTCGAATCACCTGCGCTTTTTCCGGCCGATGTGGCTGTCGGTTGGGCTTGTAACGGGAATGACAGAAACGCGTTTTGTTGCTCTGTGCAGCGTCGTGGGCCACACCGCTCAAGGACGCGGAGCCCCTCAGATGCCGCCGCACGGACGGCAAGAAGTGGCGGTGCTCGCGAGAGGTACGGCTCATCGCTTGTCACGCCACGAACCGTCCCGCTCTTACGACTCTGTTTTCGGAAATCTTCGCCGCTTGCCCCGCTTGCCCTCGACGCCGCTTCTCCCCGCTTGCCCTCGAGCGGGCCGCTCCTCGCCCGTGTATTTCTACCTTCGCTTTGTTGTCAGTCGCTCCCTGGACTCCAAGGTCGACCATTTCGACCTTGTCCATCTGACCCTCTCCCGTTCCTGTCCCCTTCCCACCTCCCTCCTGCTCCCTCCCACTCCCTCCCGTTCCCTCCCCCCCCCTCTCGCGCGTGGCTCTCGGCAGGCGGTGACGGACCAGAAGTACTGCGAGCGCCACATGCATCGCGGCCGAAACCGGGTGGGCAAGTCGCGAAGGCTCAGCGACAAGGCGACGGCCGGCTCGTCGCTGTCCATCCAGGCCGCGTCGTCCGAGGGGCCCATGGGGTGCGTGGAGGGCACGTGCTCCGCCATGACTGACACGTGCACCGACACGCCCTGCCACAAGGGGCTCGTGCCCAAGTTCGAGCTCGGTTCGGTGTCGAAGCTGGAGATTGGCTCGGTGTCGAAGCTGCGGTTGAATACGGACGATGTGGGTTCGAGTGTTACGCGCGGGTCCCCTCCGCCTCCGCTTGCGCTTCCTCCGCCTGCCCAGCCTGTCGGCGCGGACCAGGCGCGCACTCCCGCCTCCAAGACCTCGTACGCGCCGTGCCCTCTTCATCCCCTTATGCCCAATCATAATTTGAAAAATCGCTAAGCAAGACCCTCGTTCTGTGGTAGTTGTGTCCGAAAAGTGATCAACATGCAGTGCTTGAAGTATTTTCTTGTTCCGCGCGTGCTCCTCTGGTTGCCATCCCCACTGGCTCATGATTCTCCTCCCTTGTTTCTTGCAGGGCCCTTGGTTGCTCCAAGCAACTCGCCATCCAGCTCTCCCCAGAAAACACCGGATCACCAGTCCCGACCGGCCAACAGCCCCACGACCCTGCGTGCACCCCTTCCGCTGCCGCTGCTCCCGCCGCATCTGCCAGCGCAGCCGCTGTCTCCGACGCCACTGCAGCTCCGTCGTCCTCTGCCGTGTTTACCCCGTTTGGCCTTCCCGAGCCCACGCCCGCTCCTTCCTCTGCCTCCGCGCCTCCCCCTGAAGCCGTCTCCAGCAGTAAGTTGCTCGTCTCAGGCCCCTCGGACAGTTACCACCCCCAGCAGCAGCAGCAGCAGCAGCAGCAGCAGCAGCAGCAGCAGCAGCAGCCATTCCAGCAGCAGCAGCCCTTTGATCATCAGCAGCAGCAGCAGCAGTCGTCGCAGCAGTTCGGGGCTGATCCTCGGCTGCAGAAGTCGCAGTCAATGCCGTGCCACAGCAGCGGCAGCAGCAACGGCCGGCTTCAGCTGCAGCTGAACGGGTCTCTGGGCCCTCGCCTCACGTCCACCTTCCAACTCGGCCACAGCATCGTGGAAGGCGACGAAGGCAGCCCCGCCCCCATGCCTCCGCAGCAGCAGCAGCAACAGCAGCAGCACGCTCTGATGCCCTCGCGCTCCATGCCGCCCCGCCAACAGCAGCCAGGTGGATCTAACGCCCTGTACTCTCCTGCAGCAGCAGCAGCAGCAGCAGCCTGCCGGGCGCATGGGCTCGCCGCCTCGCATGCAGCGGTCCACGTCGCTGGTGCTGGGCGGCGGGCAGCGGCTGTGTCTGCAGGTGCCGCCCAGCGGCAACTCGCGGATGCCCGTCTCCTCCAGCGGAATGGCCCCTGCTGGTGCCGCTGCTGGTCCCGACACTGCTGGCGCTGGTGGTGGTAACGGCGTGGGGCAGCTGCAGCCAGGGCACTACCAGCTGCAGACGGGCGGACGAGGTCCCAATGGCGCTGTGCCCCTCGGCGGAAGCAACTGGCAGAGCCAAGGCCAGCAGCAGCAGTCGTCCGCGCAGCAGCCTTTCCAGCAGCAGCCGCCGCAGCAGCAGCCGCAGCAACAGTGGCGGCCGCAGCAGCGGCAGCCGGCACAGCAGCAGTGGCAAGGCCAGTCACAGCAGCCGCAAGTCCTTTCTTCCGCGCCTTCTCCTCGGCCGCAGCAGCAGCTGGAGCAGCAACCACAGCAGCGATGGTCGACACCGAATCAACAGCAGCAGCCGTGGCAGGCCCCCCAGCAGCAGCAGCAGCACCAGCAGCAGCAGCAACAGCAGCAGCCGCAGCAGCAGCAGCGGCAGCAGCAGCAACAGCAGCAGCAGCAGCAGGCGCCGCAGCAAGGCACCAATGCTCCTTCTCAGCCCGCAGGTGGTAACCAGTGGCAGGCACAACCGGCCCAGGCACCACCCGCTCAACAGCAGCAGCAGTGGCAATCCCCTTGCCCAGCTCCGCAGCAGCAGACGCCTCGGTCACAGCAACAAGGCGGGCAGTGGCAGGGCCAGAACCAGCCGTGGCAGCCAGATCACACTAAGCAGGCGCACGGGCAGGCACCCATGACGCCAGTTATGCAGCCACAGCAGCAGCAAGGCATGGGGCAGGCCGGGCAACCTCCGACCCAGCAGACGCCGTACACGCCTCAGCAGGGGCAGTCGAGGCAGGGCGCGGGGCAGAGAGGCGAGGCGTGCAAGTTCAGCTCGCGCGCCCTGGTGCTCAGCGGCGAGCCTGAGTCGCCTGAGACCCACCCTCTCGTCTCCGCCCGCTCTGCTTATGCTGACGCGCCTCCCAAGACCCAGCAGCCCCTACAGCAGCAGCAGCAGATGCGGGTGCAGGCAGTCCAAGGGCAGCAGCAACCCATGAACGTGCAGCATCAGGCGCAGCCTCAGCCGCAGGTGCAGGTGCCTGTTCAGCAGGCGCCAATGCAGCAAGCGTCAATGATGCAGCCACAGCCGATGCAAACCACAGCCATGTCCGGTCCCCCTCAGCCTATGAGAGCCCCGCGGGGGTCCATGCCTCCTCCCCCTCCCCCCAACGCCCAGCCGCCTCTCCAGCAGCAGCAGCCGCACTCACAAACTCTTTCCATGCCCATGGGGGGACTCTCCACCAGCAGTAGCACCACGAGCAGCAGCAGCAGCGGTGGGGGCGTGAAGGTGCCACTACTGCGGCTGCCCAGCCTCGTCCAGAGGCCGCCCGCCCACCCGTCCCCCTTGGGCCCGCCTTCCTCCAGCCTCAGCAGCCACGGCTCTGGGCTGTCGGCATGCAGCATGGCGTCTCCCATCGGTACCCCCATGGGCACCCCTATGGGCGCGCCTCACAGCAACCCCCACGTGCTCACGCGCTGCAGCTCTGTGCCTGAGCCCAGGCATGGTCGGCCGCACCTCATGCGCTCCCAGTCCATGTTTGAGTCGCCCAGGAAGAGCTTCGTTGCTGCCCCCACCGACCAGTACTGCCCCCCGCCCCTGGACCTCCTCAATGGCTCAGATGCCTGTGGGTACAGTGACGGGCCATATGAGCAGCAGCAGTACCAGCAACAGCAGCAGCAGATGTACCAACCAGTGCAATCCCAGCAGCAGCAGCAGCCGATGGGTTACCAGATGGGGAGCTCGGGTGGCTCCGGTGGTATGCCACAAGGTCAAACCAACATGCGGCAGATGAGCAACACTCAGCAGCGATACAGCCCTGCCCCTTCGCAGCCACGCATGCACAGTCCTGCTCCGCCACAGGCGCCCATGGGATCCCAGCCACCCCTCACGCATCCACCCATGGGGCAGGCCCAGCAGCAGTACTCACATGCTGCGCCCATGCAGCAACAGCAGCAGCAGCAGCAGCAGCAGCCACAGCCGTTCTACCAACAGACAGCACAAGCAGTGCAAGGGCCACCAATGCAGCAACAGCCTCCTCTGCACCATCAAGCCCAGCCGATGCAGTACCAGCAGCAGCAACCGCAGCAACAGCAGTATCAGGCTCAACCCATGCAGCCTCAGATCCAGCAGCAGCAGTATCAGCAGCAGCATCAACAACAGCAGCTGCCTGGTCCTCCGCCCATGCAACAGCAGACCACATCTCAGCCGTACATGCAGCAACAAATCCATCCTACGACCCAAGTTCACCCTCCATCTGCGTGTGTTGATGACCGGTCGCAGCAGCCGCCGCCGCAGCAGCAGCAGCAGTCAGGACTCTCCATTGACATGTTTTTCAGTGATGACAGGTAAGCTACAGACACCATCACACCACCATATTGGTGGCCGTTTCCCCTCTTGGCTTGCTGCATTCTAAACAGATTGTTTGATGGAAATGCGTTCATGCACAGACAGCAACTCATTGGTTCCCTTGCTCTCGTTTAATCCCTCTTTTGAATTGCAGCCCATGGGAAGAGGCGTCAGCCTTGATAGGCCGATCACCCAACCTGGGTCCGTTGCCGTGTGTGGACGACGCTGACGACTGCAGCCTCATCAGTGGGCCGCCCTCACAGTACTTCTCTGTCAACCCCTCCGACTCCCAGGATGCCTTCCTGGCCGCCTGACAATGGCATGTTTCGCAAGGGGCAGCACAATGCTTGCCCTTTCAACGCATGCTTAGGGATACCAGCAGGAACAGTAGGCTCTGTTCTTTTGTTGTGCTTTGTAGATTGTATTCGTTTGTGTACACTGGGTGGGTAGGAATTGTGAATCCCTCATCTGTTCAATGAGGGAAAGGATAGGTAATAAGGCAAGTCATGTATTCAGCATACTAAATACTATTACCGTAATACAGTACATATACCTTTTAGATGTACTTCATATTGTAGTCATGGATACGGTTAGTGCAAATGCACATCGCATACTGTGACATGCAACTGCGATACCATCAAGGCCAAGAGTCCAATCCAAGCGAAGTGCTGCAAATCTCAAACAAGACATCAGTGAACTGATCCTCACAACACGTGTGCCACCTGTGCTTCGCCAGAATTTCACAAGTACAACTATTGCCACCACAACCACAACCTCAACCACAACTGAGTCCACTAAGGGAGGTCCATCCACCATTTACCCTCATAATAATGCTACCAATAGGAACTCCCTGTTCCCACCCCGCACTTCCCACCCACTGGCTCTCCCCAGGAGAAGTTACGCTGACTGTGCCCCGCCACCAGCGTTGAGGGCTTCTGCCGAAACCCAGACGAAGCTCTTACCGGGGATAATCCCCTTTTTGCAGTAATACACACACTTGGGCTGAGCGCTGCGGTCAATGTTGTCAGGCGAGCACACGGGGGGCCAGGAGTCCGGGAGAGAGAGCGAGGCAGAGGAGGAGGGGGAGGCGGGAGCAAGCCCGGCCATTTCCAGGAGGGCAGGATCGAGGGGGTCCTGGCAGAGTGTGTTGATCGGGGCCTTGATCGTTTTTGGGTTTTGTAACGCGTTCTTGGAGTACTTTATAAGGAGGATGGCCCAGTAGAATGTGTGCCCGTGACGCGTGCATGCCCACCTGACGGTTTGAGCAGTGAGGTGGGGGACAGGGGGAGTGGAGGGTGAGGAGGGGCGGAATGTGGGAATAGTGGAAGTATGAAACTGGAGGGATCAAATGCGAACGATGGGCATGGGAACGAGCAAACACACATGATGCAAGCGATGAATGAAGTGCAAAAATCATGATGATTGGTCCATGATGAGTGGTAAAGAAAAGTCACACACTCGCACACACTCACACAGCACACACTCACTTTGCCGCCCGTTTGGCCGCAGCTACCATGTGGTGCACGTGGTGGTCGTGGCTCTGCGCCCACCGCTTCACACACATTGACGCACGCATCACATACAGAGCATACGCACACCCAGAATACACTCACTTTGCCGCCCGTTTAGCAGCGGCCACCATGTGGTGCACGTGGTTGTCGTGGCTCTGCGCCCACCGCAGCTTCTCAATGAGGTTGTCAAAGTGCCGGTTGGCCGGGATGAAGTTCACGTAGGGCTTTAAGAGTGGCGTGAAGAACTCCGCGTAGGGGGAGGCCTGCCGGATGGCCACCTGCAGAGGGGAAAGAGGAGGGGGGTACGGGGGAAGTGGGGGGTTAAGATGGGATGAGGGGGAGAAGAAGGGATGAAATTCACGAACAGCTTTGAGACAGGCTTGACGAACTACGCAAAGGGGGAAGGGGGAAAGGGGGCAGCGGGGGAGGGCCTTGTGAGTGAGACATGTCAGACCTCACCCGCTCCCCCCTTCCTAGCAATGCGTCTCACCTGCTTGCCTCACCACGAACGTTTCAAACCTTACCTGTTCGGCCCGAGCAAGGATAGCGCAGGTCTGGTGCGAGTACGGCAGGCCAGACACGATCTGGTACTTGCTCATTGGTGGGAGGAAGGGAGGCCAGAGACGATTTGGTACTTGAACTTGCTCATTGGTGGGTCGGAGGCGAGCGAGTTGTGGGACATGCCATACCTCACCTGCTCGCCACTTCCCTAACCACTCCTCACAAAAGCGTGCCTAACCTCACCTGCTCGCCTCTTGCGAGGATGGCACAGGTCTGGTGCGAGGAGGGCAGGCCTGACACAATCTGGTACTTGAACTTGCTCATTGGAGGGTCGGAGGAGAGTGAGGGGCGCCCCACCATTGCCACTCCATCCGCCTCCATCCTGAGTGGAGTGCGTGGGGATAAAGGAAACGGAGTGGGTATGAGGCGCGAGGGAGTTTGGTGAGAAAGCAAGCGCGGGCGAGTGAGAGGGAGTGAGCAAGAGTGAGGGGGAGTGAGCAAGAGTGAGGGGGAGTGACAGGGAACAAAAGTGGGGGAGAGCGAGTGAGGGCAGGCACTGAAGAGGAGGATGGAAGGAAGATTATCGAGTAACGCCAAAGGTGCAAGATTCACCGAGTAAGATCACCCCCTTCCCTGCACCACCGTAGGGCCAAACCCCAACACCCCACTTTCTGTTCCCCCCCCAACCTTCTCCCAGCCCCCACCTTCTCCCAGCCGCCACCTTCTCTCAGCCCCCCCCCACCTCCCAGCCGCCACCTTCTCTCAGCCCCCACCTTGTGGCCCAGTGACCCACCCCACCCTCGCTGTCCATACCTCTTGCGCACGTCCCCATCCCATCGATGTCACGGCTCCACCCGATTCATCTATCCCGCATCGACTCAAAGTACACCTGCCCATTCCCAACCCCCTCCCCTGCTCGCTGCCCATACCTCTTGCGCACGTCCCCATCAATGTCTCGGCTCCACCCGATCAGCTTCACATCCAGCAGGTCTGGGCGCGCTTCCGCCATCCTGGAAGGGGGGGCGGGGAGGGGGGAAGGGGGGAGTGGGGAGGAGGGGAGGACGAAGAGTGCGGGTAAGCATCAGCGTCACATCCAGCAGGTCCCACCTGTGCAGTGTTTTGAGACGTCTCAAAACACTCCTTCATACACGAAGAGCGCGAGTGAGCATTAGCGTCACATAAAGCGGGTCCCACCTGTGCAGGCAAAAAATGGGAGCATGACGAATATTTTCCGTGAAAATATTTGGTGCACGTGTCCTGAAAAATAAGCTATCCAGTAGTACCTGCCCCAGAATGCCCCACCTGTGCAGGCGGATGAGGGGGTGCGCCCGCCAGTTCTGCGAGTCCTCAAACGGGAAGCTGCTGGCCGTCCCGCGGAACACAGCGCGGTTCTCCTTCTCCTCCCACGGCACCTGCCGTAGGGGAAAGGTGGGGGAGGTGGGGAAGTGGGGGAGCGGGAATATGGAGGCGAGAAAAACAAAGCACAGCACGGTTCCCCTTCTTCCTCAGAACGGGATGGCCACGTCAACGGAGCCGGGCACCACGCGCGTGCTCAACAAGGGGAACCCCACCGGGCGGCTGCTTACCCATCCCCACCCAAGTCAACCCCCCCTCACCTCGACATTCTCAGGAAGATCCACGTTTTCAGGAAGGTCGAGGGGGTCAGGGATGGCCACGTCCACTGAGCCGGGCACCACACGCGTGCTGAACAAGGGGAACCCCACCGGGCGGCTGCCTAACCTAACCACCCCCACCCACCCGCACCCTTCCCCACTCCCTTCCCCATTCATCCCCACTCCTTTCGCTCACCTCAACATTCTCGGGTAGATCCACGTTCTCAGGTAGGTCGAGGGGGTCTGGAATGGCCACGTCCACTGAGCCGGGCACCACACGCGTGCTGAACAAGGGGAACCCCACCGGGCGGCTGCCGCCCACGTCGCTGTCGTAGCTGATGGGCAGGTCGCACGTGTTGACAAAAAACTCCGCCCGCATGGCCGCCAGGTTGTAGAAGTCGACTGCGCGCTGCAGGGAGGGGGGGCCGAAGGAGGGACGGGGGGAGGATTGGGGGAGAAGGGGGAAGAGGGGGGGAGAAAGGGGAAGTAAGGGAGAAACGGGGGAGAAAGGGGGGAGATGGAGGGGAAGGGAGGGATGCGGCAGAAGAGAGGGGTAAAGTGGGGAGGAGGGGGGGTAGGAGGTTTGGTTGGAGAGGTGAAGGGGGGATGCTGTGGGAGTCAAGGGAATGGTGATGGGAGGAACAGATGAGAGCGAGAGGGGAGCAGAACGGGAGCACGGATGCAAGACATAGTGCAAAGCGGATCAGGGGAGTGAAGGAAGCGCGGCACGAGGTGAGGGTACTGGTGCGAGGGTAGAGGGCTGTTCAACAAGAGAACGGGGTCGGCTATGTTTGCTTGCGCCACTTTTGAGAATCCTCAAATGAGAAGAGGGTAGTGGTGAGAGGAGGTCCAGGGAAGAAGGCTACTCAACAAGTTAAGGCGGCCAGGTGTGGGAAGAGTTACAAAGGAAGAATTTGAGGAGGTGAACGAAAAACGAAAAAGGTGAGTAAGAGGGTTGCGATGGGTTAGAGGACTAAGTGTGGTGAGAGGGTAAGAGGGGTGGGAGTGCCCAGAAGGGAAAGGAGAATGGGGCAGCAGTGGGGCAGCAATCGTGCTTCACCTGGCTGCCTTTCAAGGGGCCACGATCCACACTCACCTGGATGGTCTGGATGGTTTGCAGAAATCGCCTGACGCGGTAGGGGACGGTGATGAAGCCGCCCAGGCGGAAATAGACTGACCCGTCCACCACCCTCACATGGCCCGCACACGACATGAACTGATGGGGGGGGAAATTGCCGGGGAGGGATGGTGAAGGCCTTTCTCTGAAATGGTGCCACGAACACACCAGTCAGAGGGGACTTGGGCAGGAGGGACACATGGGAAGATGTGGAAGCGGGGGTGAAAAGGATGGGGGAGGGAGGACGGTGGGGACGGCAAGCAGGAAGCGGGACGAAACAACAAAGCTGTCCCCTCTTTAACCCACGGCCGCTGCCTGATGACCTTGACAAGGCTGAGCGCCGCCCATGCCATCCCTGCGCCGCCCATGCCATCCCTGCGCCGCCCATGCCATCCCTGCGCCGCCCATGCCATCCCTGCGCCGCCCATGGCGCCACGGATCTGCAGGATGCGCGACCACGCTGAATGCCCGCCAGCCAGGCTGAACACTGCCATGCCATCTCAAAGCCCTGGCCCTCTCCCTCCTCTTCTCCCCCCCTCTCCCTCCTCTCCCTCCTCTCCCTCCTCTCCCTCCTCTCCTCCCGCCCTCTCCCTCCTCTCCCTCACCCCCCAACTCATGCTCACCCGGGTGCGCTGGCTGATGGTCTTGATGAGGCTGGGCGCCACCATGCCTGCAGAGCCCATGCCATCACGGATTTGGGGGATGCGCGTCCATGGCGCCAGGTTATGGTCCACCATCTCGCACACCTGCACGCACGCGGTTGAAAGCGGTTGCAAGGGGTTGAAAAGGGTCGAAAACGGTGGACATGCGGCAAGTAAGCGATCTACGGGATGCGCGTCCACGGCGCCAGGTTGTGATCCACCATCTCGCACACCTGCGTGCCCCCGGTGGAAAAAAGGTTGAAAGGGGTGAAAGCGCAGCAAGCAAGCAGTTGAATTGAAAGGGGTCGGAAATCGCCTATCCCCGCACGTCCCTCACACTTTTGGCCACGCACTGACTGGCTCAGCCTTCCTGCTGCGCCATCCCACGCACCTGCTGTACGGTCGCAGTGGACACATTGAGCTTGGCATACCCCCGCACGTCCCTCACACTCTTGGCCACGCGCTGGGTCAGCCCCGCCAGCTCGTGACTTGCAAGTCGACCGAGGAACAACCCCACACACACACCTGCAGCGCCACCCCACGCACCTGCTGCACGGTCGCAGTGGACACATTGAGCTTGGCATACCCCCGCACGTCCCGCACGCTCTTGGCCACGCGCTGGGTCAGCCCCGCGAGCTCGTCCGCGGGGGAGTCGGCGGGGCCTCCACCAGGGGACGCGGAGAGCGCGGAGGGCGTGGAGAGGGACGGCTGGTCGGACGCGGAGGGCACGTCGAGGGGCACGGGGTCGAGGAGACTGGCGGTACTGGGGGGGGTTTCGGGGATCTGCGCGGGCAGCTGCGCGGGGATCGTGTCCAGCTGCGGCTGCGGCTGCGCGCCTCTGATACGGGGGGGGGGCGCGGGGGGAGGCGAGGGGAGGGAGAAGAGGGTTGGGTGCAGGAGGCGGGGGGAGGTGGCGGCGGAAAGGGGAAAGGCGGGTGAGAGGGTGAATAGGGGATGCGACGGGGATGCAATGGGAATGCTGCATTTCAGGCGGAGAAAGGGTGAAAGCCTAGTTTCCCCAGCACTCCTCCCCACCCCTCCGTACACCCTCTTTGCCCAACCAAAACATCACCCCATTTCCCTTCTCCGTTTTTCCCCCGCGCCCACCTCACCGCCCCCGAACCCCCCTCCGTTCTTCCCAATCGGCTCACCCCTCCGCGGCCGCTGCAGCGCCCCCAGCGCCCTTCTTGGCCTTCCGCGGGGTTTCTTCCGCCAATGCGCTTCCCGGACCGTCGTCCAGCTGCTGCTTGCGGCGAAGGCGCTTCTGATGTGTCAGAACAGGTCAGACAACCATGCGGCATTGAACACATGACACGTTATCACGACACCAAGAACACGACACGTCATGTCATGCGATGCTAGGAAGAAGAAGAGTACATTGCTTAAAATGCCTCACGAGCAGCCACATTCAAAATGCACACGTGTCACGCAAGCAATATCCATGCCCCGTGATGCCACTCGCGACCTATCGTTCCAGCCGTCGGACAGCAATGAGCCTGGCCTGGCATTCCGATGCTGTAAACCAATAAAAGACATCAGGCTGTTCACTAATAGCCTCCATATTTCAAAACTATTCTTATATATAGAAGGATTTAGCGATGACTTAGAGGAAAGTGGGGAAAAGAAATGGGAATCGGGAAGGGCAGCGCGCGCCAGGCAGACTACCTTGGCCTGGAGAATTCGCCGTCTGAGGGGAGTTTTCTTCGCCAAAACAACATTCAACGTCTGCGATTCTTCGCCTGAAGCGAGCGCGTGCGCGGAAGGCAAGCCGTGAACGCACGCGACATTGGTAACAGAGACGACAGCGACGACGAGCGCAATCAGTAAGAGGCACAGCCGCGCCATCGCGGCGACGACGCGCGTGACGCGGAAGAAAGTCACCTGCTTCCGACAGAATGGAAGCCTGGATTCGCGCAATTCAAGTTTAGAAGACTCTGACAGCCCTATTGTAAAACAGACAGGAGGAAAGAAATGGCGCCAGGAATAGTTGGCACCGGGTATGCCTGTTCCCGACAGGGAGTGGGGAGGGGAGGGGAGGGAGGGACATCAGCTGACAACTGGGGCCTCTGGGGCATGTGGGTGGGTGGTTCATCCTCCCCCTGGGATTTGACGTCGCAAGCCGTTTCGCCAAGCATTCGGGTTACTTCGATACACTATGGCCTCAGCACGAGTGTGGCGACGGGCTGGAGTTCCGTTCGAGATATCTTTTATCAGCAGAGTGCACATCAGTGAGATATGTTTTGAAATAAAAACCTGCTTAAATTGGCACTTTATGTAGACCCAGTCCACTTCACCTCCACTCCACCTCAATTTCACTCCACATTTCAGCATCAAGCCAGAACCGACAACGCAGCCCATAACAGAAAACTTCACAATACAACATGGAGGATAATGGCCCTGTGATAATTATTGCAAACCCTTGAAAAAGGGCAAAAGCAATACCGTACCTAGAAACTGCAAGAGAAAGTAATGCCACCCTTCACCTCGATAAAGGGCTTTGTATAATAGACATTTCTTAGTGAAACGCCTTTGAAGGGCTGTTATCAGGGCTGCTCCCTTCATCCTGTCCCACTAAAGGAGCCAAGAGATCATGCACCTGCACAACATGTATTGCAAGGGTCAGTAGAACAACAAAGATGGTATGTCATCATAGCTTGTGTGCGCATGTGAGCATTGGTGTGTTTGCATGTGTGTGTGTGTGTGTGTGTGTGTGTGTGTGTGTATGTGTGTGTGTGTGTGTGTGTGTGTTTCCGTACGATGGTGTATGTGTGCGTGAGCACACATGTCTATGCACATGTGTGCGTGTTAGTGACCATGAGTGTTACACACCTCTTTGATCGTCGGCCGCTCCCTCTTATCCACATTGATGCATCTCATTGCAAGGGACGCCAATACGAGCACCTGAACCACAAGAGGGGAAGCAACAAAGGGGATGTTCCGGTTGCGAAACGCATGCGGGTATAGTGGCTGAGTGCCTAGGAAGGACTGTGAAAGAGATGTTGTCATGTCTGAGAAGAAGTGTTGCAAAGAAGATTCAAAGAAGCCAAGCGACTGTGAGGATTCGAAGGCCTGTGATTCTGTGCCTGCGAGAAGTGCCAGGCTTACTTCATCCTCATTGTACATCCCCTCTAGAAGCGGATCCACCAGCTCCTTTATTGACTCTGCGCTGCTCCAGTCCTGTTGCCGTGCCTGCACAACATCCCATCACACACTGCGATGAGGCACAGCAGGGTTCAACTTGCACAGCCATGCCAAACAAAGAATCAAATCTCCTTCGGACATTGTGCCGTACAGCCCTGCCTGATGCGAATGGGAGATATGGGCGTGCGCATGCATCACTCTTATGTGTGCATCCCCAGAAGACCTCATCCCCATGGGTAAACTTCCATGGGGATGAGGTCTTCTGGGAAGTGGCATACAGCAAAAAGGCCCACCGCAAGCCAAAAAAAGGGCTCCCAAGGCCGAGTCAATCGCGCAACGTGGGAATCGCAAGGCGTACCGGTGGGAGAAATACAGGCCCGTACGACATGTGTGTATGTGTGCCGTAGGTCTCAGGGCTTACCCAGTCACTCAGCTGCAGCGGATCACGAGCATCGTCGTATGGAAGCTTCCCGGAAATGAGCTCAAGAAGCAGCACGCCATAGGCGTACATGTCGGTGGTCTTGTCCGTCTCGCCTGTCGTGGCGCACTCTGGGGCCATATAGCTGCGTTGGGCGAGAGAGGAGGGGAAGGTGCAAGGAGAGAGGCGGACAGGGTTTGTTTATGAGGTGTCTCATCTCCGTTGCTTCTGAGGTGTACATGTCGGTGGTCTTGTCCGTCTCCCCTGTGCTGGCGCACTCTGGGGCGATGTAGCTGCAGGGGGTGGGGCAGGGAGGAGAAGAGGAGGTAAAGGAGTGTGGGAAAAAAGGGGCAATGTGGGTTGATTCTCGGGCGACTCATGCCTCTGGTCTTGTCCCTCTCCCCCGTGGTGGTGGCGCCCTCTAGGTCAATGTACCTGCAGGATTGGGGTGGAAAGAAAAAGGGCAATGCGGTTTGCTTCTGTGGGAAGAAAGATGGGAGCAGGGCAGGTGGGAGCAGGGCAGGTGGGAGCAGGAAAGGTGGTGGGGATTGGGTGTGGCAGGTTGGTTGCAGGGGGAAGATGAGAGCTCACGCATGGGAGTAGGGCGAGGCAAAGTCGTCGTTGCGGGTCTCCGCGAAGTGTGACATGCCAAAGTCGAATAGCTGCCGCCAGGGGGAGGGGGAATAGGGGAGCGGGGGGATTGGGGAGTGGGGAAGTGGGGGAATGGGGGAGTGAGCGGAGGGTTAAGATGGGGGGACGGTTGACAGAAGGAGGGTTAAATGGGCGGACGGGGTGGCAGGAAAGACAGGCGAGACAAGGAAGCGGCACATATGGGTGCCAGGATAACACTGCATCAGGCGCCTCAAGAAACGCACTTGTTCAGGGGGCGATGTGTACAGCAGCAGCACTTGCCTGGGGAGGTTGGCCGCGTGGCAGCAGGACGCTGAGTAAGACAAGCGTGCCGTGCAGGACGTGGGAGTGCGAGCACACGTGCAGCTGCAGCAATGGGCCTGGCGCTTCATCTAAGTAGCAGCACTTGCCTGGGGGGGCTGGCCGCGAGGCAGCAGCACGTTGCGGGAGACGAGCGCGCCGTGCAGGATGTGGGGGTGCGAGCACACGTGCAGCTGCAGCAGCCCCTCCCCCACACCGTACGCCACGTGCACCCGCGCCTGCCACCCCATGTGCTCCTGCGGTGCTGCGAGGTGCAGCGAGCGGAAAAGAGGTCAGGGGCATCGGTGTGGTTGATTGAATGCAAGCAGGCATTGGTCCGTGGTGACAGCACAGAAACGAGGAGATACCTCACCTCGCACACCTGTTCACCGCACACAACCACTGTCCCACCTGCCGCATGCCCTACCTGCGAGGTGCAGCGAGTGGAAGAGGTCAGGATCATCGCGAGGAGGCATTGGTCCGTGGTGACGGTGAATCCCAGCACAGAAACGACCAGATGACCCACCTCTACATTGCCTCACCCTACCACTTCACCTCACACCAGCACTGCCCCACCAGGCAGGTGACTCACCAGACAGGTGCAGCGAGTGGAAGAGGTCAGGAGCGTCGGTGTGGTTGAAAGCAAGCAGGCATTGGTCCGTGGTGACGGTGAATCCCAGCAGAGTCACCAGGTTGCGATGCACCACTCTCCTCAACGCGTGCGCCTCTGCTATTGTGCGGCTCACCCACACGTCTCTCTCCCTCTCCCTCTCCCTCTCCCGCTCCCGCGCCTCCTCCCGCGCCCCCCACTCTGCTCCCCTCCCAGATTCCCCGCTCCGCCCCCCCACACCACGCTTATCTCCCCCGAAGCTCCCCCCTCCCCCCGTGCTCCCCCCTTCCCCCGCCCCAGGCGCCATCTGCCGCACCACCATCACCTCCCCCACGGCCTTGATCGTCCCCAGATACACCTCCCCCAGGTGCGCCTGCCGGTGCAGCCTGTGCGGGGCGAACCCCTCAGTGGCCTGCTGCAGCGCCTGGAAGGAGAAGTGCGGCGCTTCGAACAGGGGGAGCGTCGGGAGGAGACTGGGGGCGACGAGCGGGGCAGTGTGCGTGCGCGGCAGGGAGGGGCGCTTGATGGGTATATGGGGGGAGGGGGGTGGATGCGGGGAGGGCGGTTGGTGGGGCAGAGAGGAGAGCGCCTGCGGGTAGGACGACGAGGCGACTATCCCGCGGGGTTGCTCGCCAGAATAAAACGCAGATGAGCCTTCTGAGAAGCTTCCTCCGCCGCTCATGCCGCTTCCAGAGTCAACGGACGGAGGCCCCCCTGCGCTCCACCTAGACGACCCTTGCGAGGCGGACAACTCCCCAGCCGACCCCCATTCCCTGCCCGACCCGCCCACCACCTCCCCGCCTCTGCTGCCAAGCCTCCCCCGAGCCTCCGCCTCGGCGAGCGAGCCAGGTATGGAGAGCGAGAGGTGGTCGCCCCCGCGGCCCTGCACCGCTAGACCGTTCTGCACCGCTTCTCGTATCCCTTCCATTTGTAGCAGCACGGCGGACGCGTCTGGGCGCTGCTTCGCGGAGCGCACCGTGCAGTCCGCCGCGAGGGACGCGAGCGCTTGCAGCGCGGTGGGCGCGGGCGTGGGCGGGAAGGGCAGCGCGGGGTCGAGGAGAGGGGGGAGGTGGTGCGCGCGGATGAGCGCGGTGAGCGCGGAGATGTTGAGGTAGGCGCGGCGGCCCGTGGCCGGCTCGATCTGCTCCGCTGGCTGGCCGGTTAGGAGCTCGAACAGGATTATGCCGAAACTGGGGAGGGGAAGGGGGGAGGGAGATGGGGAGGGAAGTTGGGAACGGGGAAATGGGGGAAGAGGGGAAGGTGAGAGGGGCGGCCCGTGGCTGGGTCGATCTGCTCCGCTGGCTGGCCCGTTAGGAGCTCGAACAGGATTATGCCGAAACTGGGGGCCGGGGCGGGAGAGGGGAGGGAGGAAGGGGGGGGGGGGGGTGGGGTTGGTTGGAGAGGGTGGTTTGGAGAGAACGGAATGCACGAAGGGGGTGAGGGACGGGACACTGCAGTGACTTGTAACGCCGCTACACTGACCTGTAACGCCGCTACACTGACCTGTAACGCCGCTACACTGACCTGTAACGCCGCTACACTGACTTGTAACGCCGCTACACTGACCTGTAACGCTGCTACACTCACCTGTAACGCCGCTACACTCACCTGTAACGCCGCTACACTGACCTGTAACGCCGCTACACTGACTTGTAACGCCGCTACACTGACCTGTAACGCTGCTACACTCACCTGTAACGCCGCTACACTCACCTGTAACGCCGCTACACTGACCTGTAACGCCGCCACACTGACCTGTAACGCCGCCACACTGACCTGTAACGCCGCTACACGCACTGACCTGTACACATCACTGGCAGCAGATGCCCTTAGCGCGACAAAGTACTCCGGGTCAATGTATGCCACCCGGTTGCGCCACCCGTGAATGGTCGGCACGTAGGGCAGCCCCTTCACCTCCCCCACGTTGGCCAGCCGCGCCTGGGAGGGGATATAGGGAAAAACAGGGGGTGGAGAGGGATGAGGGGGAGTGGGTATGACGCATACGTTGAAAGGGTAGCCTCTTCACCACCTTGCCCACGTTGGCAAGACGCGCCTGGGGAAGGAATGGGGAGCCATGGGGGGGCTTGAAAGGATTGTTGTGAGGTTGAGAGGATTGTTGAGATGCAGTGAGTGCAAACAGAATAGAGAACTGGTAGAGGCGGATGAGGAGGAGGAAGCAGAATGAGCAGCACTGGCATAGGGTGAGAGTGGCAGCAGCAGCAGTATAATGCGGCCAGCAAAGTGACTTCCGAGTCAACCACAACGCAGAGGCAGCACTCACGTGGGGCCAGCGCGGCTGCAGGAGCACATTGGAAGAGTTGACTTGGCGGTGCAGCAAGGGCGGGTCCATGTGGGTGGCAGCAGCAACACAGACAGAATTGACTTGGCGGTGCACCAAAGGGGAGTCGGCGCTCTTTGAGGCGTCTCAAAAGTCGTTAATTCACCCGCAAAACAGCACTCACGTGGGGCCAGCGCGGCTGCAGCAGCACGTTGCCGGAGTTGACTTGGCGGTGCACGATGGGCGGGTCCACGCAGCAGTGCAGGTGGTGTAGGCCCGCGGCTAGGCTGTGCGCTATGTCCACCCGCCGCTCAAAGGAGAGCGACAGCGCGGTGTCTGGGGGGCGAGGGGGATAGCATGTGGGATACAGGCCTACTGGTGGGTGGGTGGGAGAGAGGTGCCCTGGGGGGGAGGGGGGGGGGTCCACACAGCAGTGCAGGTGGTGAAGCGCTGCCGCCAGGCTGTGCGCTATGTCCACCCTACACTCAAAGGAGAGCGTTAGGGGGTCTGGCAGAAAGGGGCAGAGCCGAGACAGGGTAGGTGGCGAGTGGGAAGGAGAACATGCCAGATGCCGTTCTATCTCGCCCTCGCCACTCGAAATCACTTCCGAGAATTCTCAAAAGTGATTCCTGAATTCTCAGAATTCTCAAAAGTGATTCCAGAATTCTCAAAAGTGATTCCAGAATTCTCAAAAGTGATTCCTGAATTCTCAGAATTCTCAAAAGTGATTCCAGAATTCTCAAAAGTGATTCCTGAATTCTCAGAATTCTCAAAAGTGATTCCAGAATTCTCAAAAGTGATTCCAGAATTCTCAATATGGCGAGTGAGAAGGAGAGCATACCAGACGCCGTTCTATCTCGCCCTCGCCACTCGTATCAGTGCTGATAGGAGTGCAAGCATGGTACTGCTCTTCCCTCTCCGAAACATGGTGCTATCACTTCGGTCTCGGTCTTCACACACGTATCATCTCCCACCCCCCCTCGCCGCCCGTGATTTCCACACCACCAGAGCCTTACCTGCCATTGCGCCAGTCTGCTGCTGCCGAAGCAGATACTCGAGAAGCGTGCCCCCGCCTGCTGCCTCCTCAGCGCCAGCAACATCACCGCGGATGGCAGCGGCGCCACCAGCGGCGGCAGCAGCAGAGCCCAGAGCGTCAAAGATACGACTGGCGTGCGCACCACCGCCGGCACCCATAATGCTGGCCCGCGCAAAAGAAGCACCAGCACCACCAGCAGCAGCACCACCAGCACCAGCACCAGCGGCGGCAGCAGCAATTCTCTTAGAGCCGCCAGCAAAAGAGCCACCGCCCCGGCGGAAGGTGGGGGGAGAAGGGGAGGGGGGAATGGCGGGGGAGGGCGGCAGCGGGGCGGGGTGGTTGTACACGAGCATGTTGCGCCCCACCTCCTCCGCCCACCCCACCAGGCGCACCAGTGACGGGTGTGACACGGGACCCAGGGTGTCGACCTGACGTGGAAGGGGGAATGACGTGGAAGGGGGAATGACGTGGAAGGGGGAATGACGTGGAAGGGGGAATGACATGGAAGGGGGAATGACATGGAAGGGGGAATGACGTGGAAGGGGGAATGACGTGGAAGGGTATGTGATATGAGAGCTTAGACCCAACACCCTCAACCCGAGAGCTCGACACTTTCATTCAGCTTCCATCGTCCTCTCGAATCGTGTATTCGCTCCCTGTCCCATTTTCCCCTCCATAATCCTGTTCATTTCCCTTCCTGTTCCCCTCTGTCCCTCTCTTGTCCCCGAAACCCTAAACCTCCTCTGAACCTTCCCCCGTTCTTCCCTGCTCTCACCTCCCTCCGGAACGCTTTGATGACGTCAATGTTGTCTGACGTGGAGACCACGACGAGCCAGGGCTCCCCGCGATGCTCCCCCAGGTACGCGCGCCCAAAGTCCCCCTCCCCCACCTGCTGCGCCACCCCCAGGCTCGACGTCGCTCTCCAGATGGCCCTCAGCGGCAGCTTCTGCGCTGTCTCCGCGGGGGCAGCCGAACGGGCAGCTGAAAGAGTGTGCGGGGGCGTGGTGGGAGGCAGGGAGCGGGTGTGAGTGCGGAGAATGAGGGCAGCACGGAGATTCTATGATAGAGTTGCAAACGGCTGTATGTTCACAGGGGACGGGCTGAGGTGAGGGATGGAGAAGAGAAGTAAGGACGCCAGGAACAGGTGGGAGCAACGGGAGCGTGTGGGGCTGTACTGAGGGCTCTGCGGGATCTTGATAAGAGGCCTGAAGTTGTCGCAGCCGTGAATGGTGCAGATGGGGAAGACGGGAGGAGGAGCAACGCACGTTAGGGCTACGAGCGACGACGAGCAGCCTACTGGAGCGCGGCAATGGCAGGGTGAGCAACGCGCGCACCTCGATAGCGGCGGGAGATGAGGAAGGCGAGGAGGGCGACGAAGACGACGAGCAGCGCGGCCGTGACCGCACAGAGCACAATAAATAGCAGCCTCCCCTGGGCATCCGCGTCTGGTGCGCGCAGCAATGGCGGAAGAATGAGAGGAGAGAGGGGAGGGAGGAGAGGGAGGGAGGGAGGGGAGGGAGGGAGGGAGGAGAGGGAGGGGGGGAGTGTGGCAAAAGAATGAGAGACATTGGAAAACACTTGGGAGTTGAACAAGTCACAGGCGTGGGCGAGAGAAAAAGCGGCGCGGGCGGGGGAGATAAAGCTCCAGGGTTAGCCCTCTGGGCTTGCTGCCACGCGGCGCTCGATAAAGTCATGACGAGGTGTGCCACGAGATTACGAGCGGTGGAAATGGCATAAAGGTGTCTCAGAGCAGTGACAGAAAAGACACAAGGGTTTCAGAGCACGCGGCGGAAGACGCGCCAAGGGACTCATGAAGCGACGAAAGGACATTAGGTCTTGGAGAAGGAACGGAGAAGGAACGGAGAAGGAACGCATCAGGCGGAGAGTCACCTGTGACTAGTAGCCGTCGTTCGGTCCCGAGTGGTATCATTGGAGAGTCTGCAGAGAGAAACGACGATGGACACAGAGGAACCGAACAGCGGTACAACGAATGAACCCCGGAAGCAATGAAGCAAATGGATATCACTCTGAGAGTTTCATGACGTCTTAAATCGCTGAAGCAATGGGACCCCATAGAAGCCTCCTATAGCCTACCCCATCCCGAGGGTCGTTTGGTCTCGGACCTATGACGACACCTTAACAGGCAGCCTGAGTGCTCCTCTATGGGCTCTCTGCAGTCTATTCCCGCCCGGATATTCTCTGACTCTCATCCGTCGAACATTCCATTCCGTTCAATCTAATCCCGCCAGTGTAACGCACGCGACGAGCCCGCACCTGCAAGTCTTGCAGCTGCTCGTCCCGGAAGCGCGGCAAGGAGCGCCAGGACGATCGGCAGGCACGCGCGGCCAGCGGAGCAGTCCATGTCGAGGCGAAGCCTGATGCGCGGGTGTGCCGTCGCCGACTGGTGGCGTGATTCCCGCCTGATGGTACGGGATTTGTAGGATGTTGAATGTCGTGATGCCCTATTTTTCTGACACGAGGGCGTTGGCTCGCCATTGAGACCGATGCTGAAACTCAATCTCCACCATTCATCTTCGCCAAGCATCCTAGAGACCATACTCGGGAAATAGAAAGGCATTAAGCATTGCGTGTTTGTCAAATCCACGGACTCGTTATTTTCCCAAGAGAACGCTATGTCTTGTGGCTAAGTAGGTCAAATCGTCGAAGCGCATGGGCTACCCGAGGAGCGAAAACGTGGCGCCCAGACAACTGGGTTTCCTGATCAGACAACATGCAGCTGAGAAAGAAACTGCTGTCAAAATGAATTCTGGAAATGTGACTCTCCTCGGGCTTGGAGGCAGAAGAGCCTTGGGTTTGCTTGATGATTTGCCCCGAAGCTCGAAGCGCGAAAAGTTGAAGGGCCTCGTTTCCTCCACACGACACGACATCGACGGTCGTCGAATGCCACAATACAATTGCGCGTACCCTCTGCTGTGATTCGTCCGTGCCGAGTCATTTCAGTGATTCGGGGAGGAATTATTACTCCCCCTACGCACAAATAATTGAGGGATTATTGGTTGGTTGGTAGCCGAGCCCAGTGGATCAACGGCTACGCGCGTTGAACGGACCGATTTCCTCGGTTCAGTAACATCCTGCACATATGCGCGCATCCGTTTCTCCCAAGTCGGTATCTTGTATTTGAATAAAGTCCTGCATATTTTCTTATTTTCATCTCAATAAGAAAGCTTGTATAACCTCATGCGTACCATTATTGATCTAGACCATTATATGCAAGAATCACGTGTAAGTCTCATGATCTCCATCGTACATCCCTCCCTGTATGAGTATACTTTCATTTCGATATAGCATCTACTCAAAGGTCACTTTGAGCTCACCTAAGGGTACATTCCGCTGTAGATTTATGTCTCAATCGATGTGTCACAATCGATTGAGACGCGTACGTACAGCATATGTTGCCAGGTGTCGGAATGCCGTGGCGCTCGTGGTTGTCGTGGAGTGTATTTATCATTGGGTGGCGTGGTTTACGGAACTGTCGCCAGCTAATTACAGCACATCTAACCATTCGCACGCGGTGCCAAATGTCATCCCATGCATCATGTATCTAGACTACATTTTGCGCGGCCCTCTATCCACACCAACGCGTTCACCGCCTTGCGATTGGTCGAAACGAACCATCCGGAATTATTGACATTGACGCGCACTCACCCGCCATTCCGCCTTCTCCCCCTTACCGAGCACCTCCTCCTCAACCCTTCCGCCTCCCAACCCCCTTCAAATGTCAAGGTTATGCCAGGCTTTTCCAAGCTCCACTCTGTCATCTTCTCCCGCCCATTCTTCCTCTAGATCTAGATCTAGAAGTCAACAAGCCGCAAGTATGGCTCGTAAGCGTAAGGGGCAGGCCCTTAACGACTGCCCCAAGGACTTAAACGAGATACCGTACATCCGCTGGATGAACCAGCAGATCGCTAACGGCCGCCACCCCAGGGGATTAGCCGCGCCGCCCGTTCCTGACGGCCAGGGGTCGTGTGCACAGTCGCCCACCGCCGCGCCGTCACGTGTGCGCCGTCAGCCTGCACGGGTGGCAGCAATGCACCGGCCAGTCGTGGAGGAAGTCGTCGACCAGGCTGACGAAGACGAGGACGACGACGACGTCGCCTCTGACGACGACGAGGAGGAGCCTGAGGACGCCGGAATGTCGCCCAGCGACGACGACGACGAAGGCGACGAGGATGCCGAGGATGACGCCCCGGAAGAAGCACAGCCAGTCACCCCGCCGCCGAAACGGAGCACCGCACGCAAGGCAGCATCCGAGAAGGGCAAAGGCAAGGCGGCGCAACACACGGCACGCCCAGAACCAAGGAAGAAACGGGCGGCCTTACCGGTCGAGCGCGGCTTATGGTCCGACAAGGAGAGTACCATTCTCGCCGCGGCGAAGTGGTTCATGAAAGATGAGCTGGAGAGTCTCAAGGGGAAGCAGGGGACGCAGTACTGGGCCCGGCTGCTCGCACACATCAAGGAGTCGAACCCCGGATGGATTAGGGGAGTCAACGCGCTGCAGAAACAGTGGCGCAACCTCATGTTTCTGTGGCGGGAGTACAAGCGCGCTGACGGGGGATCGGGCAACGGCTCGGTGGAGAAACCACCGTGGTATCCGTACCTGGAGCTGCACAACCAAGACACCGCTGCAGCCGCGCCGCATGCCGTGGACGGAGGTGGGGCGAATAACGTCAACGTGCCGGCAGGCATGGAGGTTCCAACCTCGTCCCAGCCAGGCACGTCCACGCCATGCTTTACTGGTAAGTTCGTGTTCAGCTTATCTGTTTGATTTCAAATGCTGACGTTAATTGTTGTTGCTTCAACCATGCTAGTTCACTCAAAGGCAGAAATGCATCAAACATCGACATGGTGAGCACAACCACCACTAACTTAATTTCCGTGCACCTCCTATGTTGCAGCACCTCCACCAACAACCACGGCACACCCAGGCGTGCACGGGTGCATGAGACGGCAACCATGCAAGCGGCGATGCTTGTATCCGCCACCATCAAGGACTGCCACGGCGACGCCATGACTCGCATCGAAGGCCTCGTCCGCGAATGGATGGCGCAAGGCCTCCGACTTGCCCGCGAGCGCATGGCTGAGTCGGCTCCCACGGATGTGCACCGCGCGCCTCCGGATTTCTCCCCACCACCGCCACGCGGGGAGTCCGCACCACCCTCCGGAACCGCACGGCCTCAGGAGGAGGTGGGCGATGGAGGCACCGTCACTCCAGCGGCTGAGGATGTGGAGATATGGGTTCGCGGCGCCGACGATTAGCGTAAGACTGTTGAAGCGCCTCACCCAGTCGTTTCCGCCTCTCCCTGAGTGCCTGCTGAGTCGGTGGGACACACGGTTCCCATTTGTGTGTCGCGATTGGTCCCCGCGTCCACCATGGATCACGGTTACGTGGTAGGTTCTCCCATGCCATGTTCCGCCGCCTAACATCCTGCATATCTTCACACATGTTGTGCAGGATGACACAACACGCGGCTCCGGCGAGTATGCGCCACAACCTGCAGTCGTTGCGCTGGGCGAAGATGCGCCATCTCCCTTTGAAGGCGCCGATGCATCTCTCCACCGCCATGCGTGTGGCGCTCTGACAGTAGTTGAAACATTGTGCCCAGTCGTCCATGAGGTCCTCACCTCGAGGGGCATGCAGGGGTGTTAGGCAGTACTCCCGTAGAGGGTAGGCCGCGTCACCAACAATCTGGTATGGGGCTATGTCTCCGTTGTGTAACCTCTCAAGTAATGCACTCTCTTTGAACACCCGCATGTCGTGCGCGCTCCCGGGATACCCGATCAGGTAGTCCCATATCCTCCCTCTTGCGTCACATGTAAGCTGGAGTTGTACGGCATACGCCGATTTCCTTGTCCAGTACTCTGTTCTGTGCCCCTCCATCCCCTTCATGTGTATGTGAGTCCCGTCCACAGCACCCACCACAGCAGGTATACCCTTGACGGCTGCAAACTCCCGCGCCATAGCAGGAAGCTCTTCTCGGGTGGGGAAGCGCACCCATGCGGCCTTGAAGGCAGAGGGGAACACCGTGAGGAACACGTCGACCAGCTCGTGACACAGCGTCTTTGAGATGCCGAACAGGTACGACATGTCCACGTACGCAACGCCGGACGCCAGGTACTTGATTGGTATGAGCACAGCGGTGTCCATGGTGAGTATTGAACGGTTAACTATAGTTTCTAGGTGTCAAATGTTGTAGCCTATAGTGAGGTTTGTCTTAGGGGGTACAAAACTTAGGGTTAGCTATATGTACCCCAACCAACATCAATGCATCATCCATTCTTCATTTTGACATGGTATCAGTTAGGTTAGGATCCTGTGGGATCCCGTTCCTCCGTTCTCCGTTCGAGCCTCCCGAGCCTGATCCTAGCTCTCATTCGTCCCGGTTCCGTTGTTACCGCGCGTAGTGCCGCGCCTAGCGCCACTCCTAGCGCCCGTCCGCGCCACCCGTTCCCCTCGTTCCGTAGCGCCCGCCCTTACCCCCCCGTCGCGTCGCGTTCCCCCCCCACGTCGTATCGCGACCGTTCCCCCCGTCGCGTCGCCGCCCATTCCCCCCGTCGCGTCGCGCCTTTTCCCCCCATCGCGTCCTGCCCGCCCTTTCCCCCTCGTCGCGTCCCTTTCCCCCCGTCGCGTCCTGCCCGCCCTTTCCCCCTCGTCGCGTCCCTTTCCCCCCGTCGCGTCCTGCCCGCCCTTTCCCCCTCGTCGCGTCCCTTTCCCCCCGTCGCGTCCCGCCCGTCCTTTCCCCTCGTCGTGCCCCTTTCCCCCCGTCGCGTCCCGCCCGTCCTTTCCCCCCCGTTGGGTCCCTTTCTCCCCGTCGCGTCCCGCCCGTCCTTTCCCTCCGTCACGGCCCGCCCCTTCCCCTTTCCCCTGTAGCGGCCCGCCCTTTCCCCTGTAGCGGCTCGCCCCTTTCCCCA